TCTTCGATCTATTTTTATGCCTCAAGGTCCTCTACTCCTCTTATGACCCTTGCTCTCGCTTCTCCAAGCAGAGGTCTCATTGCAATAGTCTATCGAGCGACTAGCCAATGAAGCCCTACTATGACCAGAGTACCTTTGGTTCAGACGGCAAGTAACAGGTCACACAACATGACGCCTCTACGCCATGCACTACACACTACAGCCAGGCGCCTGGTGCAGCTTCGCTAATTGGGGTAATCTAAGGATGATGTCAGTAACAATGAACTATTTACTAAACACTATAGAGCTCCGAGTTGCCAAGATCCCACCTAAACAGAGAGAACAAAAGCAATGGTAGAATCAAGTTAATATGCCCTTTGCTATGTATGCGCATGTATACTTACCTGAGGTGTTATCAGGCCTTGATAACACCTGGTCCTGATCCTGATCCTGATCCTGCTGGATGGAGGATCTCCTTGAAGGCCGGGACTCGAGCTCTATAGGGCCTAGTAAACAGGCCACTGCTACTGACTTACCATACTTAGACGACCACAACTGTGTGTCATCTGTTACCTACGCGAAATCCCCAAGGGCACTCGGATCAAAGTAAGGTCCAGAGGCTAGAGGCTCTCTAGAGCTACTACAATGATCCCCCTTCAAGGAGTTGCGAGGGCTTGACGGAAGGATCGGCGAAGGGGATCGGCGAAGGGGATTGGCGGGCAGGCGGGCAGGCGGGAGGAGGGCCCGGCGGGCTAGAGTCCAAGCGGATGAGCCTCTAAGGGAAGAAGACAAAAAAAAAAACACGCGTGGTTAGAATATTTGGTAATCAGAGCACAGCAGAGTACAGACAGAAAATCACGACATGTGCTTCTAAAAGAAATTGTACTTACAGCTCCGCTTTCGCCCCATTTCGATAAGCACTGCATGGGCCCATTGCAGTCTTTGGGACAATCGTCGCCATGAGCCTAGGGCTAGTGGCCCCTATTACAGCTAGGAGGAAGACGAAGAAAAAAAAAAAAAAAAAAAAAAAGAACGAAGATAGCTTTGTAAGTATGCTAAGCTTATTCGATGGTAGGGACAATCACAAGCAAGACAAAGCGAAGCCATGCATAAACTATATACTTACTTGATGACAGCGGCGAGGGCTCTTCTGTGAATGACCAGGTGAGGCTTTTTTTGCTTTTTCTGGTCTGTAGTTTGCTGTTGAGTTGTTCAGAGTGTTTCCTAGTTCTGCTCTGTATCTGGCTAGAAGTTTGTATCATTTGTGGTCTAACAGTGATGTGAAAGAGAGAGAAAGAGAGATAGACAGGAAATAAAAAGTCAGAACAAGTACAGTGCAGCATAAGGTGAGAGAGTTAGGACTTTAGTGAGGGTGAATATTTGTGGAGTGTTGCTTACCTTTCATGTTGGTCGAGGAGGCTAAACTGGAAGAGAAGAAAAAAAGGGAAAGAAAGAAAAGAAAAGAAAAGGAAAGGAAAAAAAAAAAAAAAAAAAAAAAAAAAAAAAAAAAAAAAAAGTTTATTTTATATCGAAAGCACTCGCGAGTAAAGGACGAATGGATGAATGATGAGTGGTTTTTGAAGTCGCGCAGGAAAAATGATAAGTGAAACCAATTTGCGATTTCAGAGTATTGACTGAATAATGAATATATCAAGCATCTTGCTTTTTGTACGCTCTAGAGCTCTAGAGCGGCCAAAAAAAAAAAAAGAAAAAAAGAAAAAAAGCGGCATAGCGGAATTTGAAAATGGATAATATGCGCACTACATGATATCATCCGTCATTTCTCATATGCATACAAGAGAGAAAAAGAGAAAGTACTCATGGGTGGAGGTGGGGAATAGCATTGCTAACATTCCGTCTTCAAGATCTGCAAGATCATCTAAACAACAATATTAGGCTACCCACAAACAATCAGAGCACGAGCCACATTGCTCTCTGCATGCTAAGGTGGTGCAACAAAGAAATATCTATTTAGACAGTGAGATTCAGAGCACAAGCACATTAACACTCGCATGCTATCATTTTCAACAACATTCAGCTCGAGTATCTATTATTAATCCTTCGTAATGGAGTTCACCAGACACTACCAGTCAAGCTTGCTTCTTTATTCTCTCTCTTCACTCCCAATAGCAGATGGAATAGACAGACTATCGCAGGAACTGTACCGTAGCAGCTTTTGTCCAAACAGACCTTTTTTTTTTTGTTTTTCCAGAACGCGGTAAAAGTAAGACACATCACTCGTGTGCTTTTTATTGGTCGACATACAAATATTAATTCGCTTTCAAATAAAATAAAATAAAATGCACAGCCTAATCAGCTGTCACATGTCATATGTTTATATTTTATTACTTTACATGAAAATAATAAAAAAGGACTGCGAGTGAGTTGAGAATTGGCATATGTCGTATTCTGGGAAAAGGCATTAGGATACAACCTGCCGAAACACAGTTCTCGATTGTCTATCACATCTCTTGTGAGGAGTGAAGAGAGGAAATAGAAGAAGAGAATAAAAATGAAAGCTTGATTGGTAGTACCTAATGAGCCCTATTACCAAGAATCAAAAAGTACTAGAGCTTAATGTTAATGAAGTAAGAGTATGCGAATGCTAATATGGTTGTGCCCTGAAACTCATTTTTTTACTTTCAGCCGCATCACATTGCTCGCTGTCTAAATGGATCTTTTTTTCTTTGTTGCGCCACCCCACCATGTAGAGCGGCTAAACAGTTCGAGGGCAGTAGGCTTGTATTTTAGTTATTGCTGTTGTTTATACAGTCTCGCAAAGCTTGAAGATGAGATGGAGTATCATCCTTGCCTCCATTTGAAAGTGTTTTCTGTTTTTCTTCCTCCTTCATCTTGTAGGAATATGAAAAGATATTGGATGGCATCATCGTTGTTCGCTTTTCATTTTCCTCTTTTTTTTTTTTTTTTTTTTTTTTTTTTTTCGCATGCACACACGACTGTTGACGCGTTGCAGTCGTTTATTCATCGGTCTGGCTCTAAAGCGTACAAAAAGTGAAATATTTGAAGTATTCTCTACTCAGCCAATCTTTGGATAGCACATGTCGGGCTCACTTCCCCCCATCCCTTGTCCGAGACTAATACCAAGCTAATTGCAAGCCCAGTGGGGGTTTTGAGGGAAACTGAGGATCAATTAATCAAAGAATGGAAAATGGAACGTAGATAAAGACAGGATAGAATTAAGAGGGCATTGGCCGAGAAGAAGCGCCTCCTGCCCCTCGAAGGATCGCTATACGCTCATCAAAAGCGTTCCTAAGACACTCCGCCCAGAAACTATGCAGCGATCTTCACGAACTTGATGAGTAGGCATGTAATCCATTTATGTTTTTTAGCCTTCACTATCCCCCAACAGTCTTTTTATTTCCATTTTTTCTCTTTTTAGTTCTCATTCATTCAAGTGTACCTATTCTCCGATATGCCTAGCTGCTTCTTCCGATGGTTCGAGCTCAGCGCCGCCTCCCTGCTTGTTCTCTCTTCATAAGGGTGAATGGCGGTGTCACGGGCTAGCGGCAAAACTACAAGTCCGCCACCCGAGTGTGAACGTCCGTCAAAATTTGAGGCCGTGCAAGCCTCGCGCCTAGTTTATGTCCTTGAATATCGTGATTTATAACGACATTTAAGTGTAATCATATCATAGTATAGATAAAGGCGCAATCCCCGCTTGAATAGCTCTTCCTCAATAAATATCTACTCTTACCTTTACCCTGCTATCGCCTGCTATCCACCACCTTTTACCAGGGATCCATCATCCATATCCATATATCCGCCACCTAGTTCGGAAATGGAATTCTGTCTTATCTGCAGCGTAAGCTCTTGACAGCTGGACTTTTCGAGAGGAATAATCAGCCTTCCGGCAACATCTCTTTGAACAAAACCACCCCTACATTCGAGACTAACCTGACGGTGAATGACGCACTCTTCTTGCCTCACCCTTTCATCTAGTGAGGAAGATTATTCAAGGAGAAAGGGAAGGAAGATGGTTATTCAGCGTCTATTTCATGTGGTATCTTGTAGAAGGAGCGGTACAGCTGCTGTCTCCAGCCTGGGCGGTAAGGCTATACCCATACTATGTCTACGATCCTCTACATTTATGGCCGCCCCAGCTTATTGCTTTTGTGAAGTAGGGCAGAGATACCTCTTTTGGGAAGAAATGAGGTGCTGCCCTCGTCTAGACAAACAAGACAACCACCTTTTCTCGTCAGCCTTGGTCCTTTCACTCCGTTCCCTCTTTTTTTCTTCGCCAATATTTTCATATATTCATATTTACATACTTTCTACATTTCTGTCCAGCTTATTGGAGGACGGGAGGCTTGCGACTCATAAATTGGAAAGAGCATTTCGGGTTCTATCGAAAATATTCCTTTGCGAGTTAACGAAGGAGTATTCGGGCCCGCTGTGTAGGTTATAGTTGAGATAACCATTTTTTACTTCCTTGTACTATTTCTCTTGGGATGAGATATAGGTGTTTGAAGATACAACCGCATAGATATAGAAGATGTAGAAGAAAGACAATAAGGTCATCGTCTTCTGATGCGAATAGTGGAAAGATTTTTTATTACATGTACATCAACTAGTACATAGTTTGGAGCCTCTTAATCTTGTACTACATGGGCGCGTTCTTGCAACATTAACTAGGGTCCTCTCAAGAAAGTCGTCGACAAATATATTTTCGATTTAAATTAAATAAAATAGCCTTCTATTTCAGATAATAAGCCACTGAATTAATTCAGCCATCGTTTTTTGATTCAGACAGTATTTTAAAAATATGTTTGTCGACTTTCTGGTGAGGACTCTACAATGTGAGTTGACCCATCCAGGCAATTGTTAATAAAGGAGAGTTGAGCCGGTGGTGTGCCCAAACTGAGCACAGCATATCGCATCCTAATATCTTTTTATTCCTCCAATGTAACAGGACATGTAGATCAGTTCGTCATTTGCATAGGGAATTACATTCTTTATTTGCTTGAACCAAAGCTTTATTTTATTTTTTTATTTTATTTTTTTTACTCTGGGACCTTCAGCCCATCCAATCGCTGCAGCAAGTAGTCGACTTCAACTTCCTTTGTCAAAGGGATCACAAACCGTTCATAGAGATCCACCACCACATCTGCACGGATCTTTCGATTCTTGTGTTGTTCAGCTTGTTCTGATGCTGACAGTGGTTGGCCATTGTTATCAACAGCAATACCACCATCGATTTCTCCAGTTTCTGTAATATCATGACCATAGATCATGGCCTTTCGACGCAATCGTCTCAACAGTGCTTCCTCCACCGTTCGATTGGTCAACAATTTCATGAGCCCGTCACGATCTTTGTTTTGGATCAATCGAATATATGTCTTTTGTTCCTTAGGATCAATGAACTTTGATTCTGCAATGAACTTGCCTAGATGTCCTCCAACACATAAACACACACACACACACAAAAAGGAAATAAGTAAAAGAAATGAAATTTAGAGGCAAGATTGAAGCATTCAATTTCTTCTTTCATTTACCGTAATGGATACGTTTGCTGAGCGCCTGAAGACATTCTACATCCCTAGTGGCTGAAGATCCATAGTTTTGATCATCTCCCGGGGGACAAATCTTGGGCACTATATCCTTTAAATATCTCTCCATGATATCCTTGTTCACATTAATGTCGTTCTTATGTAGGACCGGCGGAAAATTTAATGGTGGTAACACCGGCTCTGGCAAAGGTGATGTGAATGGATATTCATCTGGTGATGTGTAACGACGAACTCGAGCTAATACATATAAAAAAAATGATATATTTTAAGCTAGAAGCTTAAAAAAAAAAAAAATAAGGGGGTCTGCATCTTTTAATCCCCCTTTTTTCTTTTTTTTCTTTTTCCCCCTTACCATGGACTTTTTCCATTTCATGCAAAAAGTAACCCAAGAATGAGCCCTTGTACTTCGCATCATCATATTGGTACATTCCCGGCTCGTAGATACGTTGGTTCAACGCAAACTGTGCACGCTCGATTAAAGCTATGGATGTACAAACACCATGAAAGAAGGAGCATTGTCTCTCAATTAGGTCAAAATTTAGAGACAGCGGTTGTTTTTTTTTTTTTTTTTGCTTCAATTAGTGTCATTGGAATGCAAAAGAATCTCATTTACCAAAGATGATGGTGTCTTCAAGTCGAATCAAGACATTTCGAAGCTACGTTTTTTTTTTTTTTTTTTTTTTTTAAAAATAATTATTATTATTTGGGCAAAAGCAATTGACCAATGCTTATCGGCGTAACGTTACTAATTACCATATCGCATTTTTTAACCTACCTTGGGAAGACTAAGAGTGTCATTATTGTTGAGCAGATTCATGGTAGGAGTGATTGCAAGAATGGCAGGTGTGGTGAAAAAAAGGGGGAGATACAGACTAAAGAAGACAAAGAAGAAATGATGTAAACCCACTTTTTTAAAATGTTATCAAATGATAAATGTTTGTTTGGCTTGACTCATAAAATTCAAATGGGACTAGAAAAACAAAAAACATCTTTGTATGTTCCAATTTTAATACTTGAACGCTTTCGCATTCACCATGCACCTCCTATAGAGACTACTCTATCCTGTCCCGGGGAAAGGATCAAAGGGCGATAGGTCAATTGCTGTGTTGTCACTGGTGTCTTACTCTTGTAACTTCCCTTGATTGAATTAATGATTGATGAGCAATTAATACAGGCACATTGTTTCTATTATGAGAGTAATAGTAATAAAAAAAGGCGGCTCGTGTAATTGGTGATGTTTACTACAACTATTCTACATCCTAAACTACTCGACAAAAATAAAAAAAAAATTATGATTAAGGAAGGGTTATTGTTGATGGTATTGGTTGTTGTTAATATTGCTATTGTTGTTGTTGTTGTTGTTGTTATTATTATTCAAATATCCTAAATGAATGTTCATAGGGTTGCCAGGGTTGAATCCCATCGATCCATTCTGATTCTGTATGCCCCCTCCTACTCCTCCGTTATTCATATATGTTGATGGATCTATATACTGAGCCTGTTGCAGCTGCTGGGGTTGTTGTTGCTGATGTAATGACTGGTTATTTTGTCCGTTCAGATATGGAACATGAATCCCTCCAATGGTCGTTGTCAAATTCCCCCCCCCTCCTCCGTTTGGTACTGCTGCAGCTGCAACTGCTTGCCGCATTCTGTTTATCAGCTGTTGGCTACTCACCATTCCCCCCAGTCCTCCACCCATTGCAACACCCCCCGCATTGACATTCACATTCACATTGCCTCCTATCAACCCAGATTGACTCTGTGGTGGAAGTGCAATAGACATGGGAAGTCCCGAATGCATGACTCCTGAGCCAACCCCAACACGCATTTGATTCTGAAACATCTGTTGGTGCTGCTGCTGCTGTGTCTGAAATGGCTGGAATTGTTGCGAAATCTGTTGAGGTATCATCGGTTGAGGTTGCTGTTGCTGTGACTGCGGCTGCTGAGGAGCTGGAGGCAATGACACGGACGTTGGTAGAGTTAGTTGTGTCACTGTCGATGATAACGTCCCTGTTAGATCCACTGACGTTGCTGTTGTTGCTGCTAAAGATGAAGCAGTAACTGTTGTTGTCGTACTCGCAGTCACAGATGTCGTTCCAGGACCAGAGCCAACTGTTGCAATAGCAGTTTTGCTTCCTTTTCCTCCACGACTACCCTTCCCTCCACGTACAGACTTTGTCACTGCTGCCGCTGTTGAGGCTGCCCCTCGGGCTGTTTTGCTCGTCGACGCCTTCTTCCTGTTAGTTGAGGACGCTGCTGTTGCCACTGCGGCTGTTGCTGGAACTGTTGTTGCTGCAGACATAGCGGGTGTTGCTATAGATGCGGTAACTGCTGGCGTAGATACAGGTACATTCGCAGATATTGTCACAGGCACATTAGAGCCTGAGATGGAGGTGGTGGTAGTAATGGTTGCAAGTATATCACCACCCATCTCACCTTCATTCTTCGTCTCAACCACTTCACCCTCTTCTGTACCTACAGAGGCTGCTGTCCCCGGGATTATGCTGTTGCTGCTGTTGCTCTGACTGATGCTATGGCTATCCCATGCCATGCTATTCATGTCTAAATCCTCGCTCACAATTTGTCCCTCTTCCAGCTCGGGATCTGGTTCTTGTTGCCGAGGTAAAGGCGGTACTGAACCTGACCGTATCCCATTACCATCGCCCGAGGAACCTGGGTCAAATAGACCGATCTCCATCATATTATTATTCGATGATAATCCAGTGTCTTGATTCTGATTATTCTCTATTGTGCTCTCAATTTGCTGCTGCTGTTGTTGTTGCTGTTGTTGTTGCTGTTGTTGTTGCTGTTGTTGTTGTTGAAGCAGCAGTTGCTCCTGCTTTTGTTGATGGTGTAACATAAGCAGATTCTGCTGGTGCGAATGGTCATATTGACATGGACGCTGTTGTTCCTCAGCCAAAATCAATTCTTGCTCATCATCGCCTCCGCCGTGGCCCAAGTTGAACTGTGTTTCATACGTTGTTCCTTCTGTAGATTTTCGGATCTGCTTAGCACCAAAGAGTGTGAGCGAAATAGACGTGTTGTTGCCATTCTCATTTTGTGCCATCGAGGAGGATGATCCTGAAAGAAACAATGACGATGAATTAACACCATTGTCCCCGTTCATAAGCCCCGAAGATGACGACGATCCCCCATCCAGCAGTCCTAAACCAAGCGCCGGATTCTGAGATGATTGCTGGTGCCCATCGACATCCCCAATACAATCCTCGAGCCAATCCCAAGGCCGCGGCTGAATTTCTTTAGATGCTCCTCCCTTGGATCCACCATCACGCGACATACGGAGACCTGTAAAATAGACATTATGCTGCTGAAAGGGCAAAATTCTGAAAATCCTGCTTGCAAACACCGTTGGGATCGAGTTTGTCATCAGAGGCATCCCTGCTCGAAGCTGGTTCAAAATATCGTTCCTCATCGCCTTAGAGTCGTTTCCACCACTGAGGAGAAGGACTTCGTCCATCAAACATGAGACCATGTCCAGACAAAACTCAAACAAACGCTCTTCAGACCCTTGTCCATGCACGATGGATGACACCAACAAGTTGGTCAGACGAATCACATACGTAGCAAGATCACACGCAGCAGGTGATGGCTGTTGAAGGATGACTGGGAGTAAAGGGACTAGGAGTCGGAGTCTCAGACAGAGGGATGTCCGAAGGTCGATCAAGTAGACTGCAGAACTGGCGTTGGAGACATCAGAAGTGGTGGAGTGCGCTGGTTTCTGTTGCTGCTGCTGTTGCTGGAACGGATTATTTTCAGACATCAAATGCAGTTGGCTCTGAGCAAGATGACTGCGTTGCATTGAGGCATTCAGCAACAAATCTTCCATGTCAGCGCCTGCTGTCTCACTATCCTGGATGACTTTGGATGCTTCCTCATATGAGCATCCTATCGCATGCATAACATCAAAAAACTTGATCCTATCTTCAAATTTCTTAAGCTGCAATAGCAGACTCTTTGCAAATCCAATTCTACTCTCCAACTGTGCTGCATCCAATCCCTGCAATGGGTCAACTGTCTGGTTGTTGTTGGCGTTGTTGTTGGCGTTGTTGTTCGTTGGCTGCGAGTTACTAGCAGATGGAGTTGGGGAAGGCGCTACAGCAGTAACAGATGATTGTGTAGAATTCTCATCTGCAACCAACGACAGTGGAACTGTAGGCTGTCCTTCCTTCAGGAGGATTTCCATGATATAATGAAAGTTTGCCACGATCTTGACGTAAGCTGTACTGGTAACAGGTCGATGAGCAATCATAACATTGTGCGGAAAAGGATCATTTGGATTTCCAGCCAAAATACTGTATCCAAAGCGAATGAACTAGTATTGAAGAAGATAAAAGCAGGACGAACTTATGAGTACACATAGATATAGATCAAACTATATACTTCTTTTTCTTTTTTTTTTTCTTTTGTTTTAGTGCTTACTTCTTCAACAGCATCTGATCTCATGCCGATAATCATCCGTCCCAAGAGCTCTTTGTTCGAATTTTCAGACAAGACAAACTCTTGGAAAAATATTTGAATCAATTGCTGAAGAGAATCGCCCTCTACGCCTGTATTCATGCCAGCGCCTCCCCCACTGCTCGTTAATCCCACGGGCTCAGCACCTTCAGATGGATTACCCGGCCCTGCTGTCATAGTCACACCTTCCATCATCATGAACCCACTAGAAGAAGAGGCAGAAGAAGGAACAGGACCGCTCGATCCATTGTTCTCCTTAGATAATCCACCATCAGATCCAGAACGTTTTTCTCGTGCAGTCCGTTCCATCATCACATTATCCAACAACAGCCAAAACTCTACTTTGCGCCTATCGAACGTCCATGGATCAACTCTGGAAAATATAGATCTAAATTTCCTTTGATGGACCATACTTGCAGTCAACGAACCTTCGCCATAAGTATCAAGTAACAAGAGGCTTTCATGACTTTCAGCAACCAGCATCTGAAAAGTTTCCATCATTTTGCGATCCACGACCTCAGAATGCTTCTTGTTATTCTTGTTGCTGCTCTCAGTATTTGCTTGTGATCCTGACAAATCGCTTCGCCATTGCCCTTGCCCCATCCTGGTCTGCAAGAACATTTTGTAAGCGTCATCCACATTAGCCAAACACTTCTCGCGCAACCAATCAGCAGAGAGAGCCCAATCCTTGCGGTACTCGTGAATTTCATGAAGAACCTTATGATTTAAGGGTAGACAGGATTCAATCCATACAAGATCTCTGCAGATTTGAAATTGAACAAGCATCATTCGCTGCTCAAGTAACGATGGTTGTGATGACAATGGATTCGTCTCAGTTTCTCTTGACCACTCTTGTTCATTCCGTGACTGCTGTTGCATGGCCATCAGCCTTGAATACCTCTGCGTCTGCAGTGCATGAAGCTCGGCAATAGTGAATGGGATCCCCAATCTCTGAATGTGAAGCTCCAATGACAGCGTATGATGACTGGATCCATATGCATGACTCGCTCTAGGGTTTGAAAATGCATCTTCTAATAGTAGTAGCCTCAATAGAACTACCATGGTCAAGCAAAGACGGAGTGCTGACTGATCTGGCATAGTTTGCTGCATTTGAATCTCCTCAAGATGCTCTCCATGAAGTTCCATATGGGATGAAGGCTGCTGAATATTATTTGCGATCTTATTTAACATTGTGCCGCACATATCCTGAACCAAGACTTCAATTGAACAAAATCCCTGGATCACAAGCTGCATCATAAATGACAAGAACCACATGGGATGCTTTTCATAAGCTGCTTCCTCGTTTGTAGACACTGATCCCAGGACAGACATCATCCAATCCAAGTCGTGCAAACGTAGCCATGACAAAACCACATCGTTCATACAACCATTTCCAACACGTTCCGCCATTTCAACAAGCAATTCTGCGTACAATCGAGTCGCCCTAATGAGATCCATTCTAGCAGATGTAGATGGTGGACATCCGTGGCTGGTAGGGTCATCCGTAAGAGTTGAGTCGAGCTTATGAAGAGCGTCAACGCATTCACTAAAAAGCTGGAGGGGCCAATGTGCTAGTCCACCATATTTAGAATATAATACCGACGCCAGGTTGTATACCGCGGTAGGAGACGAGTCCGAGAGCAAATTCTGCAGTTCAAAATATTGTGATGGGATATTGACCCCAGATGTTGTTGCAGGCTTTCCTGTGATCAAATCACCTTCCATCTATTAAATATAATAAACCAAATAGAAAAAATCCCTCAGCTATCGATTGACTCCTACGCTGAAGAAAAAAATAAAAATAAAAATAAAAAATAAAAAAAAAGAAATATTACATCAACTCACCTGCGCGCGGATGTCTTCTGGGACATTGTGCGCCTCAAACGCAAGATAGCGTGGCAACGCTTTAATATTCACACTCTTAGCTTGTAGTTCGTAATGCTATGATATAAAATTATATATATTCAAAATTCAGGAACATCAGCAACCTATTGTAAAGAGGAGAAAAAAATGAAGCCAACATTCTAAAAGCTACTTTCTCGCATGCTTTTCCTTTTGCTAATAATTTCATACATACTTTATCCAAAATTGCCTGTGAGAATTTGATGAGTACGCCCATAGCCGCCCACACCATGTAGTGTTTCTTGGCAATGTTTACAATGTATGTCAGTAATGTTTTGTCTGCGGTGTGCTCTAGTAACCATGTGCAAACCTAATCCATCATGTCAGAGACACGAAAATGAACTGTTATATTAGCATCGACATCAACTTTTCATCTGAGATCACAGTTAATAGAGCAACATTACTGTCAAGGTAATGAGACGTTGATAGTCCTTACATCATACAAAGAGTGAAAATCGCTAGCTACTTCCATGACGTTGACAACGGTTGCAAATTGCCTTGCATTCATGAGAGAAAGACCAGGTGATGTCATGACCCTCCAGTTATCCTCTCCAACTTCAATCTTCTTGACTACGAATGATTTTACAGTATCCAGAAGCCGAGTGGTGACACGAAGCTGACAGAACCTGCTTGCTGAGAGAATGAGTTCCGTAAGTTGGATAGACAGAGGCATAGCCAGCTCTACACTATCCTGAGGCGAATCCTTGACAGGAGCAGTCATATTTCCGGCTGTAATAGTAAATTTAAAGTGGGGTGTTTAAATCTAAAAATATAATAAAAACACTGAAAGACTTTTTTTAATACAGCCTGGCCAAGAGCAGATTCAAATTACCTTCAGGAGAAAACATATATGGTAATTTGGCCTTGACTTGAGAGATGATGGATTCAAAACATTCCCGATCATATTCATCTTCGCCATTGACGCCAAACAGGACAACTCTACGCTGATTAAGATGGTGTGGCTTTGCTCCTTTATGTAATGGAAATGACTGTAGATATTTCAAGTGCCGTATTGTCGACTCCTGACACCGTTTACTTGGTTGTAGATCACCTCTCGCTATCAATCGCTGAAGATACTGTTGATATGAGAACAAGCGATCATGAATCAGGTTACCAAAGAGCCGTGCCATGGCATCCAACGTGTCTTCATTCCCATGACTGCTATGCTGTTGATGTCCATGTGACGCATCGCCGTAGCTGGATGTCTGGTTCTGAGAGCCATTAAATGTATCCAGAAACTCAAGAAGAGCGCCCTGTAGCACCATAGTCCTTTCTTCTAAAGGAATACGTGGCGACAGTATGGGATCGTCACGCCAAATGCCCAGAAGTGTACAAGCAATATAAACACGGTGATGTCCATAGCGCGAATTTGTTATAGCCCATTCACATAGGGTGTTGAGACGGGATTTCCATACTCTGTCTATCCACTGGGATGAAGATGATGTATGTGACGTTGAAGGCGATGAAGGCGGTATAGGTAGAGAAGTTCCTGCTAATGGAGTGGTGGCGGGAGAAAAAGTCATTTTTGACGGCGTGGATGGTATTGACGATGGCGTGTAACTATCGACGGCTTCTGAAAAATATTCCTGCGCTACTTGCTCTAGGTCTGAGGTATGGTCTATATGGTCTAGGATCTACAGCGTTTTCACCAAAAGAGGTTAAATTTATTGATTGTGAGTCAAAAGAGCTTCAGGGAGTGATTGATTTGAGCAAAATAAATACATAAAAAAACCTAGAAACATCGGCTTACATCAACATGGTTCCCTAGTCTTGCGCTTTTCCAGTCTTGATCTGATCCTATAGAAGATAGCCCTGTAAAGACATTTACGCGTGCATGAATCATTTTGTATTGGGCCTCCAACACTGAAACGACGTTGGGAAACACTGCAGGCTTGTAGACAGTTGTTTGCATGTCTTGGAGAAGTACTTGCTGTAGAAGGCTGGAATGTATTGCCCAAGCCTTGGGTATTACAAACATGTCTGGCGTGGAGAGAAATATTGACTGGTAACAGAAAAAAAGTCATTAAACTGAAAAACCAACAGCTTGATATAGTGCTCTGCCAATTAATACACTTGCCTGAATCATTCGCTTCAGCTCCAACTCAAGGTCGCTATAGCGAAATACAGGTTGATTATATGATGGATGTTTTTGCACCTATTCTCATTGTTTAAAAAAAGCCATGGCGTCAGGTAACTGCTTTGCATTATAGAATTTTATCATATCGTCTTATTCACAATCAAAATACTTATGCGGACAAAAATGTCAAGAACCATACAGATTGAAGGGTGCTCAAGAGTCCTTCGATCAAAAGCCTCATCAAAAGTCTTGACCTCGCATATTCGGAGAGAAACATAGAAATTAAGCTCAGTAACAACGTCACTTGTTCAAATCCTAGTGTTGTTAGTTGCTCTACAGTGACTCTAAGAAAATGACGATGATCCAACAATCCTTCATTATATTGCCATTTTGTCAACATGACAGAATATCGCCATTTGGCCTCCCATTTTTCTTTTGCCTCCTCATTTGCCCATGGCTTAACATTCTGTGTCCCACTTGCTGGGTTGAGTGCAGAAGTAGCGGGTTTTGAGGTAGGGTTGGGGTTGATCTCCAAAAGCTGCTTTCTCAGGAATAAATTGACGATCGCAGTCCATTCAGCTGAGTACTGATGCTGTGTTATGCCTGGTCGATTTCGTTGAGGTTGCATCTCACTAAGGGCCACAATCTTGATGTACCAGGTAGCTCGCAACAATGGTACTTGGCGTTGAGCAAGAGCCTCCAACAGTTTCTCTGATTTGAATCCATGAGGCACACTTTTTGAAAGTCGACGTAAGGACACTGTTCCTGACAAGTCTGACAGCCATTGCTCCTTCTTCTGGTCATTTAGAGTTGCGCGACTAGGGGGTCTGAATGTACTTGGCCTATTCAGGTTATAGTGATATTTTGGTTTCTTTGTTAACCACATGATTCTAGTCACAACGCCACGAATAAACGCCTATGTTCAAGTGTTATGTTTTCTGGTCCATGCTTTGTGATACTCTACCCTGTGATCCTGTTGCTCTCTTGTCTTTTCTTCAAAACTTCTACCATGAATGCGCCCAACTCACGAAGTTTCTTTGGGTCCTGAAGACCATCAGCGAGTATTCCTTGAGCAGATACAATATCATTCTAAATTAAGAAAGTGTAATTAACATCATATTGCTAACTTTTTATGCTTATTACAGAATAAAAAAAAATGTAGTTAGCTTGTTACCTGTATAATGCCTTTATCCATAAACCCAGCCTTGACATTGGTGGGCGTCATTTGATCCTCATCCTGCCCGGGGCGCTGCGGAAAAACTCCAGGATAGCCTAGTTGCGTATTGGTGGCACAAATAAAGAAAAAATAAGTTGAGTCAAATTTGTGTAATAGTACCACGCAATTTACGGCCAATGGATATCACAACTGAAGAATAGAGCCTCGGAAGCAAGATTTGTTCGACCTCTTTTACCTAAATCACTCGTTTTATGCAGTTTTCGTTTTCTTGGTGGCGGAAGCAAAATATACCTCCGCAATGGCGCGGTCGAATGTGGCTTGTTCGAATTTGAGTAGGCTGACGAAGATGGCGAAGACGAGTAAGGTGAATGGGTTGGGGTAGTATGTTGGGAAGCATGTCCATAGGGCATTTGAGAATTGTTACTATTGCTGTTGTTGTTGGGATTGACCATATTATTGTTGTTATTGCTATTGCCATACGACATGTTTGAAGGAGGAAACTGTCCCGGATAGCCTCCACCTATGTTATGTCCCTGATTATTAAGACTCATGTTACCCATGGGTCGTCCAGATGGAAATCCAATCCGAGTAGGTCCTGGTAGACCCTGTCCAGGAATATTGTTCATGTTGGTGCCTCCTGGTCCAACTTGTCCTGGTCCTGATCCTGATCCTGGAGGATATGGCGGAAATCCTCCTCGAGGATGATTTACTGGATGATGGCCTAATTATTGATTAGTGTATACAGGATAGCAAGGTGACATGTTAGAACTCGATATTAACATTTCAAGGGGGAGTGGAGGCCAATTCGAAACACAGACACACGAGCTGCGTTGCTTTTTATTTTCGGTGAGGCATTTGTCACCATTGGATGGATGCCTTGGGGAGCCACCTGACACAGGGTAGCTGCACGTGTTTTGGTGTTTCTTTCCCCTCTCGCGTTGACTTGCCTGGATATTTAGACATGATTATTGTCGCGTTATGAGTTGAGCAGGGGTAGGGTCAAAACTGCCTTGAAAAGAGTAATATGAAAGAAAGGAATACAAAAAAGACGAAGAGAAAGAAAGAGGGGGGGAAGGAGAGAGGAAAAAGGAGAGGAGAGAGAGAGATTGCCGATTAGTTCTTGTCTTGGAGCAGACGCGGATCCATGGAGTGATGCAGAATGTTAAAGACAAAAAAAAAGAGCAGAGGGGTGAGGATGTACACAAGTCCGCAGGATAAGAGCGATCAACTAGTCAAAAAATAATAAAGTGAATTTGATTTAAGGTAGAGAGAGAAATAAACAGATGAAGATAAAAAAAAATAAATGAATAGATGAATTAGAAGACACTAGATGGTACTCAAGGAAATGAAAAGAAATGTAAATCTTGGTTGCAAAGGAGGATGTAAGGGTATGAGGATGCGAGGATGGAGATGAACAAGATGAAAAAAGGGGGTGATGGGATGGAGCAGTTAACGAAGTAAATAAATTTACAATTAGTAACTGGTTGTTTCTGTTAGTCAGTCAATTCAGTCAATTCGAAAATATATCTAAACTTAATTCTTTGGTCTCAAAGAAGTTTCTCTCTTCCAGAGCAGGTAACAAGTTCAATGTGATATCTGCAGTATCCGATACTTGTCAAATATACCGCGCTGTCTCCAGTAAAGACATCAATAGACATAACGATATCGTCTCAACCTTACGAGCATGCCGATTCTCGCTCTATACTCTATCCTTCAAGAGCAAGATGTCAATAAAAGTACAAAATATGGCTGTGCTTTGTCATTCTGCGCTTCTCTGCTAATCAACCCGCAGCCTCCGGAGGACCAATCCTTTCGTTCAAGGCTGCAGCCCCTATTAAAATCCAGTCGCCCAATCAGCTGAGAAAGAAGAAGAAGAAGAGTCCCTTGTATGGAGTCTTTATCCATGCAAGAAATTAAGAATGAAACCCATCATTACCCAGGTTTTTACTCTGAAGAAGCACTGTTTACTAAAGTGTAAGGCCAAACATAGGCACCTGTGTCAAAGTCTTTGTCAAGATTGCGGGTTGCCTGTGTGAAAAGTTAAGGATCTGAAATAGGATTTACGGCGACCTAAATGGCTCCAGTGTCAGAGTGCAGGAAATGACTATAATTCATGATCTATCTAGACCGCAAACAGATAGTACACCATATATATATTCATAGATGACCATTGAGCTTCTTCTTATACGCACAAATATATAAATCTGTTGACTCTCTGTCTCTATCTTTCAAACAACTCGAATCAAAGTTTCAGATCCTCCGCCTGTAGTGCCTCTAAAACTTGGCTTGGATGATCCCAGAGTACAATTCTCGATTGGATCGCACTACGAGTTGCTGGAAACTCTGTCAACAGGTATTCTAATGTCCTACCACGACGTACGAAAAACAAATCATGGCTGTTTCGCATCCGAAGTGCTGGGCAGTAATCATTCCTACCATCTCCTACATACAACATTCTCAATGAACGTGTTGAATTATCTTCTAGCTCCTCCCCTACAAGCGATGTAGCTGTAATAGAGGCTGCCTGTGCAATTGGATCCGTCGCTGTTAATTGTCCAAGGCTCTGCATCAACCGATCCAACTCTTGACCTTTACAAATGTTGACACTGCATGTACCGGTGGGGCAGCTATGTGGAGGTGCATCTACAGGGATCAATCGCTGGATATGGAGTCGACCTTGCTCATCCCAGTGAGCAGGGTTGGTGATGACTGCACTGAACAAATGTCGGATCTCATGGTGCTATATATTCCAGATCACATAATATAAACGCATGAGATTACATCATTGAGATATAAAAAACTGATCTACAAGTTAAGACAAGAGAATTCAGTGTTTGTTTTTACTTGCCTTGAGAATCTCATCAATATAGACTGCATTAGAATCAGAGAGGATCACTAATGTCCAGCCATGACTGTGCAATAGCTTGCAGACTTCAATCATGCTTGAGTCCATAGGAGCCTTCTTCATTGCATTGATAACATCCTGTTTCGTCCCACCTTGCTCGTGATACTCCTGAAGACAAGCATTTCTATCGATTTTTCAAATATGTAAAGCGATCAATTGTTACTTCTTCGGTTTCGTAGTTCTCCTAAAAGATTTTAAAATATATATATATATACATAATATATACAAATATAAAAGAAGAGACCATACAAAAGATCTGTCCATTGCATAGTGGGACGATTGAGTCGTTCTCGAAGTGTAGGTGACAATCCCTCCATCACAAACCGATCAGAATCAGTTTCAATGAGTGTCCTAAGTAAGCATTGCATTTACAATTAAGCATGTCGCAATGACAAATAAGCAACAAAAAAATCAAGCATAAGAAAAACATTATTTTACCAGTCAAAGTCAAAGCAAGCCAGTCCAATGGGTGTCATTTTTGATAAACGAAAATGCTGGATGTTTGTCAAGAAGTTGTTAAAAGAGAGTGAAGAATCAGCTATAAAAAAAAAAAAAAAAAAAAAAAAATGTACATATCGTCATATCGATGTGTACAAAAGAATATGTAGGCGTCATTGGCGCAACGAAACCAGAACATCTCAAGTAAGTTCCCATGAGCGTTTGTCGCCAAAGAATAGGGAAATCAGAAAAGGCCTTCTGTAACTTCATTCAACTGTCATACATAATTTGACACCTTGAAATCTTAAAAATCGACGGTGTGGACGCGTCTTCACTGACTGAATGTTTGATATCCGTATTTTAGGAGAGAGTAATAAACAGTTATGACAGGAATCCTAATCTCATACTGCAGAACAAGAGACGGTTACAACGAGTGATTTCACTGGCGAATTTTTTCACCAATGGACTTAACTGGTGGCGACTGTTCGATGCTTGTTGATTTTCCAAATCTGCTCTGATTTCATCATATTTTAGCGGAATTGATTAGCATCCCCTGAATAGTTGCCACCAGAGGGATTACTTCGAATGGACAGGATTTACTGTGGAGAAAACCCTCTTTTGATTAAATTGCAACCCTCTATCTTTGACATATTTTTTAGAGACCTATATATGTGTCCTGAAGAGATGGCGGGGAGGCAAAAGCTCTTTTATTGCACGTCAATATTGGGAATGATGCCGAGTGAAGCACATGTCTGCATATAAATGAAGCGTCATATTTGAAGAGTGTCATTCTCTAATTCGTTTCTCAGTCAACTGCTTGAAGAGGATGGTTTGGCATCCAATCCTCCTTTATAACCGCTCACCAAAGCTCTGCAGTGGAACCTTAAACTCAACACCCAACAGAGATGGTATACCAACGGCATGAAATATTGCAGAAAACCATCCTGAGGACCAGAGGCTTTTCACCTTGTAAAGGCCCTTCTTTTCCTTCGCTCTACTGTAGCCGCAAGAAGCCGAGCGAAAAAAAAAAAAAAAAAAAAAAAAAAAAAAGGCTATTCCGTATGATTTATCCTATACATGTATACTCTCTTCCCAAAATGTGATTTTCAGTGGTGAAGCTTGCACCGCAATAAGCTTTTTTTTTTTTTTTTTTTTTTTTTTTTCAATATAATGGACCGTCGCTCAGGAAAGTATCACCATCAGTGGTTTCTGACATGATGTACCAGCGGCACACCAGAGTATTTTTGTGTTAGGATACATCATACCGCTACTTGTAAACTGGCGTTGCATTGGATTCCATATGACACTGTTTAAACACCTGAACACTGCTACATGTCATTGACTTCTCTACGTCCCTTAAACAATATTCTTAGCATACATCTGAACTTTTGCAAGGGATGTGTCAATGCTTTGACAAACATGTAACATTTGGTGGCTACATCACAGCCCTTGGATTGTGGAAGCACTGAAAGTATGCGGAAAACGGAACCATTTGTGTTTTTACTAGCAACAAGCGTGGCTTCAAAAAGTTCGTCCTCAAGGAACAAATCCTATATCCTTCATTGCTCAAAAGAGACAATGCTGTCTTTTCTGCACCCCAAACGCACGCCACAATCCTATTGAAGCGTTCAGAGGTATTATTTGCCTCATGGTTTTAGGATTAGCAGACTTTATGTGCAAAACTACATCCGATCAGAACCATCACTACATCCTGTAACCAAACAGTGGCTTACTTCAGAAATATTCAGTGCAAGCGTTGTGACATACTCACCTTCGAACGGGACGACAATCAAATACTGACCTGACTTTGAATCCCAGTCGCATTGTCATATCCTTACTGCATGAGGCAATATACTTTTAATCAGGCGAAAAAGCCAAGCCATGGATAGACGTGACATGCCCTTCAAACGTTTACATTACTGTTCCGGATTTCACATCTACCCACACTAACCAGCCCTCTTGATCCTAACAGCCACCTGTTGATCACACTGTGAAAACACACTGTTTCATAACAGAGCTCACCCGTTTCTGCACTCTGTACTTGCAAGCTTTTAGTGCTATCGCGGCGCATAGCCACTATTTTTCGACTGTTAGACATATATGCGAAATAAGGGTCACCACTTGGTCTACCCTTTACTTCATACTGCCGATCCCCTGACCGAGCTACCAAGACACCGATGTTACCATATAATCATACGAAGCAGTATGGTGACCATTGAATGCGATCATTACACACCTCATAATCATATCCTTACCCTGGAGAGTGCAGCTGAGCTCTCCTGTTTGCGCGCCCTACATAGTCACATCCCCAATGTGATGACCACAGATAATTTGGTGGTTAATGGGTAAGAAGTTGGCAGCACAAATGGTGTCGTATTGTTCTCTTGACTCTAAGGTGCGAACAAGTTGGCCTGTTTGAGCAGAAAAAATTTACGTCAGTAAAAATCATTGCATTAGTCATGCAGAGGCTCTGATACAAACAGCAGCCAGAATCTGTCATCCATCTTAAGCTTAAAGATCTTTTCTCGAAAGTATGCGCATCTAGCTTCAGCTAAAATACCTGATATATTTCCATGTAAAACTTCATGCATTCCTTCTCTTAATAACACCAACAACATATAAATAATGATTAAAATAAAAACTAACACCTTTGTGCTAAGAGTATTGCTTTTACTACATATCCGAATCAGCGCCGATATATTCTACAAACAATTTCCGAGGCTCAACAGCATTTCGGAGAGATTCCGCTAAATAAGCATACGTTGTCGCCAAATGAATGATCCGCAGCTTAGTCATTCCCCCCACGAACGATGTCAGGACTCTTCTGCTTGGTTGATATGATTCAGCAATGCTAAAGATCTCTAAAGTGTTCCTTAAGGCTGATCTATGAACCTCTTCTTCTCCTGGTCCTGGTCCTGTTCCTGGTCCTCCCCCTTCTCCTCCTAAAAGCGTTTCTAGAGCTCTGTCATCGATTCCCCATGATGCTCCTCGGAGTTGCAGCTCTCTCAACCGAGCCATCCTTGCAAATACCTTATAAAATGATGCTGTATCATCCTCATCCTCCTCTTCTTCTCCAACTTCTCCATCTCTGTAAGATCTAGTCCTTGTTGCTCTTGTACTACTATTGTCATTACTGTTCCCGAATTCAGGTCCAATATTCGATTCAATCACCAACTTCACCACCTCCAAATTAGGACAGTTTCTTAAGGTTCCAACATCGAAAAAGAAGACAAACCGACCCCTCAAATCCAAATGAGTCAAATAATGACAGGACCAGTCAATCGACATCCTGGGATATTCTGCGCGTGCACTATATCCATCCTCATACCCTGCCAATTCCTCTATTGAATCTCGAAAGGCATCCAGAGCATCCTCGAGACTTGGAACTAGCTCTTGCGGACCACCATAGAGACGGACCTTTTTGAGAGGAGGGATCAAAGTAAGGTCAAAGAAGCATTTTTCAAGTGGTAAATTGTGTTGTGGAACAGGTGGTAAAGTTGATAGCATGGATTGTTGCTGGTCTAGTATTCCATTGTTAGCCTGCCCCCCTTGTCCACCAATAGCTTCAACAGCAGTTGACGAAAATACTGTTGCAGCTTCTGTTCCTGCTCCTGCTCCTGCTCCTGCTCCTGCTCCTGCTCCTGCTCCGCCGCTATTACCATTGCTATTGTCTCTATATAACCTTCGCCTTCTGAGTCTTGCTTGTGTCACAAAAGGAGAAATAGGCTTTGAGACATCAATCGCCCATTTGAACGTATCAGGTCCTTGTGCCGGCATCCAAATTTCTTGTATATGTCGACAATGTTGTCTCAGATAGGAGATCGGCACCTGAACTGACCCTAACCGACGTGCAATATTGACCTTAAACGATACCAATCGTCTCGAAGGAATTTGTTCCAGATAAGGTACATTGGAATTCCATGCAGAGAGATCCACTACTTTGAGAGGCTCAATGTTTCGAAGAAGTTGTGTAGGCGTCCATGTAGAGTGACTTCCGCGGACAACGAGCTCTCGCAGAAATGTCCCCGGTATATTATTTCTATTGCTACTGTTATTGATGCTGGTCCTAGCGTTAATAGCACTAGCTGTATATCCAAGTATGTCTCCTACGGGCACTACAGAATCCTCAGGGCAGGTTGGAAATAACTTTTGATGCTCTCGAATGAACAACAAGGGTACGTTTTCTGGCCTCATTCGAGCTTTGACCATCACTCCAAACTCATTCAGCACATCCACCGTGTTGGCTTCGTCTTGATTGCCTTCGCTGAACCACTCTTCAAGTGTACTGACTATAAAGCCAGCTCCAAAGTCAAGCTCCAATCGGCTTAATGATTTCAACGCCCCAACACCTGCAGCTCGAATACGCTTCTCTACTCTCTTAGGATGAGTCATTTGGCCATTATCATGGTCATAGCTCTGGGCGGGTTCCCCAGCTTGATCTGATATTTCTGTCTGAACTGTACTCGTTGTTTCTGTTGTTGTTGTTGGTATTGATGTTTTGGAGACTTTAGGCGCTTTCTGGAACAAGATCACACTTAACTGTGACGGCGTCATCGAAAGAGTTTTAATCCGTTCTGGGAAATGTCCATAGACTGCCAATAAAAAAGTCTTGCTCGATTCTGCGAACGCACGCTCAAACTCATGCTGATCCCGATGATGAAGTTGAATCGATGGATTAAGGACCGAAAACGCTCTTGAGACTCTTGGGATTTGAGATTGATTAGTGTAGTAATAGAGATAATCTGTCGTCAGCGGATCAGGCAAGGGATCCCTCTTTTCTATTTCAGGACTAAATGGGTGACGTTGAAACCTGGCCGTGGTCTTTCCTTGATATGATGAAGAGTTAGAAGAAAATGGGTCGATATGTCTTATTGGGGTAATAGCCGTAATTGTCGTAGTAGTATCATTATCACCAGAAGCAATGACGGAGGAAGAACTTGGGATGGTGGAAGTTAATATAGGCAGTGATGACGATGATATTGATAAAGTCGTTATAGATTGGATTAATGTTGAATCCTCAATAGTTTTCTCAGACATTTGACCTTGCTCTTGATCTTGGCCTTGACCTCGACCTTGCCTCTGCGTCGCGTGCTCCTGTAAGTTCCATTGATTAGGCTTAGTTTCTGAACAGGTATACAAGACCCGCATCAGATAAGCAGTCTTTTTAGCCTTAGATGAACGGCTCCAAGTCCGATGATTGTCGATCAACCGAAATGGCTCTCGGTACAAGATGGGCACCACCATGAAGAAGAAGGAACGGCTGCAGAGGAGCAGCGAATGCAACGTCGAGATCTCATCCCAGAGATTTTTTACAATTTGCTCGATACATTCTGGAGGCAACTTTACAGTAACAGCGGAGTCTTCGTTTCTACAGCTTTGATCATATGGGAGGGATCCTTGGCCTAGGACTCCCATTTTTTTAATAAAAAAAAAAAATAAAAAAAAAAGCCCCGAGCGCGATAAGGTTGAAATATACAAGAAATGAAGAACAAAATGAAGAATGAGGAATGAGGAAAAGAAATGAGACGAGATGAGAGGGAAGGAGAGAATAAAAAGGTGGAGATGATTTCTATCTCCCACAATGACCTTCAATGGCTATTTAACCCTTTTTTTTTTTTGTCATTCCGGTGACGCTTTGGTGTATAAATAAGTACTCATTTTGATTGGATTTTGCTCGGTCACGTTCTCCTTTTCCCTCCATTTGCCCCTGGCATTAAAATACAGTTAATTTATTCATGACGCGTGTCTTGGCTCTATTTTTTTTTTTTTTTTTTTTTTTTTTTGGACACTGCGCCTCCAGGAACAAAACAAATTATCTAAATGAATACTCAACGTTCGATGCAGGAGAAAAAAAAAAATATAAAGCTTTATAAAACAATATATTGTTTTTTATTATTAGGTTTAGAAATTAAAAAGAAACCCTTCTTTTAGAAACAGGAGAAAGATCTGATAACAAGATCAGGTGTAGAAAGAATACATAGTCCGTGTCAATTTCAATAAGCTTAAAGCAGAAACCCTTTTCTTTTTTCTTTCTTCTTGTCGAAGGAAAAATATTGAAAGAGCAAATCTTGCGGGATAGAAAGAAAAATAACCCCATCGATACACATCTGGGCCCACCTCGACTTCTTATGACTGCGCCACACCCAGCGCATCCCAGCAGGACTATCACTGATAGACAATTCATCCATTGTCTCGAACGTTAGAGTAAAAAGGGGCTGAGAAGAAGAAATTGTTAACGAGTTAAGTCATAGTGCTGATGGAGCCTCAGCTAGGATAAGCAACATCTATGCAGATATAGAGGGGAAAGCTGTTAAATACTAAAAGATACAAAAAGGATAGAATAAACTGAACTACGCAACACTTCTTTTTTAGGAAGAAAAAAAAAGAAGCGCAAGAAAGTAGTGTACCTTATTATTTCTTGTGATAGCCATTCTTGAATGTAATACGTTAGAAGAGATATATTTGTTCAACGGATAAAATAGAGTGTGAAATGGGAATAATAATCCCTCGAGGAGCAGGAGGAATTGTTGCCTTCCAAGGTCCATTTTGTACATGGCTAAAAGAAACATCAGCCTCTTTTAAAAGGAAAATAAAAACAGCGATTAGAAAAACTGACTTAAGCATGCCAGTTCTAACGATAAACGAAATGGAAGGAAAAGGGTGATTGAGAGTGTCCACAATAAATGAATAAACACGATATAATATAAAGAGAGGCTGAGCGTTGAAGATAAGTAGATCAGTGGGTGAATGATCGTTGAAAATAATAGTCTTTACGACTACGGTTGCACACGAAATCCTGAATGTATTGTATCCTGTAGAGAAAATCGATCATCTCCGAGCATCTTTTGATTGTGAAGGATTCCTGCCAATGCCAACGGTTGAATAATTGATAGGTCGAGACTAGATTGAATGTTCTTTGTATACGCTGCGCAGCTGAAAAGTCTGAAGTTGTAACGTTTTTTTTATATATACACGTGTTTTTTTAAGGAGCTATAGAGAGTTGCAAAAGTGAAGAAATTGATAGCGTGTGTCAATTTCAAATAAATTCTGAATTCTGAATGATAACATATTTAAGTCACTGGTAAAACGTACCTCGCGCTCTTCAGGGCATAAAAAAACCCGATCTATGCCACAGAGGTCCAAGTGAACAGTTGATTTCGTGATATCCATTTTTTTTTCTTTTTTTGATTTTTTGATTTTTTTGATTTTTTGATTTTTGGTTTTTTTTTTTTTTTTTTTTTTTTTAGTATAAAATGTAGGCTTTTAAAGACAGAAGTAAGAATTATAAAAAATGAATGAGGAAAACCAAATGAAGTAGAGCTGATCAACTGAATGCTAATGACCAAGTCTAGAACATGAGATGTCCTTGCCATAGGACATTTTCCGAGAGAGGAACGTGGAGACGAGGAAGTAAGGGGATGGCTGTTGTGACAGAAAAAAGACGAAAAAAAAAAAAAAAAAAAAAAAAAAAAAAAACGTTTTAGTAAAAAACCTTTTTATAAGCAAATATATAAAAGTATTGAATACATTAGGAGGGAATAGAAACACAGGTAGAATGCCGCAGAAATGACGAAACGATGCAGAAAAAAAAAGACCAAGTCAGGAAGGACCGAAGGGAGACAAGGGAAAAGTGAGATAAAAAGGAAAGTAACCAAGACAATGGCATACGTGAGTTGATTATAGACAGGTGAGGGACAGGGGTTCAGGTAGACAGGGGTCATAATAAAACATCGGAGTAAGATCTACACGCGCACGCGTTTTTTTTCTCACTTTTTAAGGGATGATTGTTACTGGAATACAAATATTACTTTGTAAACTTTGTAAGGTTAAATTGCACGTCCTCTGCTATCCTCTGGACTTATCCATCATGAAAACCATGATTATGTCGACTATGCAAGGTCAACTCAATACGTCGCTCAAAGAGGGCGAAAATGAAGAAAAATACCACTTTAGGTATAGTCTGTGTTGTAAACCCTTAGTGGATTTGACTGCGTTTCTTCAAACACTTTTAGAAGAGATCAATCTTATTGGACTCTCTCGTAATTAGACAAAAAGAAAAAAATCAGATCCAAAAAAGGAAAAAAAAAATAAGAAGACATCTTTAGTGTTGGTGGCGCTTTATATCAATGGACGAATCGGCAAGTAAAAAAAAAAAAGTCTCTACTTATTAGAAACTAAAAAGGAGAGGGAAAGGTGTAGGAAAGCCTGTTTTGCCATGATACCTTTCATTCCCGACAGAAATCTACTATTTATCCAAAAGAAAAGAGAGAATTTCGGAGCAAAATATTTTGAGACTATGGCCTTTTCTGTGACAACACTGGACGTCCAGTGACAGTATCTAATCGTGTACTCAGCCGTGCCTCCTGCAACGCTGGATGATCAACAGCTTCAATAGGTTTCAATTCTTCAATTAGCGCTTGGTTCTCAAGATTTCCTGAAAGGATGTTCTTCATCGCTAGAATTGCATACTCGCGGAGATCTATTCATTAAAAACCATTGGTAAACGGGGTAAATAAATGCAAAAAAAAATAAAAAAAAATAAAATGAAGTAAAATAAATTAAAATAAAATAAAGTAAAATAAAACAAGGTAGAAATAAAACAAAACAAAACAAAACAAGACAAAACAAAACAAAACGATTTTACAAATTAAAATAAAGAAAAGCAAGGAGTATATTTAGGATACTTGGAGAAGTAGGAGAGAAAAAGGAAATAAAAATGCACCTTGAATTAAAAAGGGTAAAGGCGGAGAGGTAATAGAGACTAAAATGAAAGATATTAAAGAAAAAAAAAGCTGAGGAGAGGAAAAGAACTAGGACGAGAACGAGAACGAGAACGAGAACGGAAAGTAAAATGGGGGCTAGAACAAGTAAGAAAAAAGGAAAATGGAAAGGCAAAAAAAGGAACAAGGAAAAATAAAAGAGTAAAAAAAGATCCAAAAAGAAAAAAAGAAAAAGAAAAAGAGTACTTACATGGATTCACGTCATCTATATTGCACTGGCTCAACATCACAACAAGTCCATTGCATCCCCGTATCAAATCCTGAACATGGCGGGATCGGTATGCTAAATTCCCGACTAGCCTCACAATATCCCGCTTCAACCCCGCAAAGAACGATTGCTGTCCTTGTTTAGTCGATGTGTTTGTGAGAAGTGTCGACGTAGTGTTGGCATCCATGGATTGTGTTGTTGATTCTAAAGTAGGTTCATCACTCTGTGACATGGCCGAAATTGGTTTGGTGACTCGGACCAAACTCTTATCAGCTTGGCGTAAGAGCTCTGTACACAAAACGGTATATTCAGGGGGAGCGGAAGAAATATATGTTGCATGAGTCAATAGCTGAAAACCATTAAAAAAATATAAAAAATAAGAAAAAAGTAATAAAATAAGCAAGAATAAAAAGATTTTTCTTTTCGTCAAATTTACCAATGGAACTCTCCACTAGTCCGTGGTTGACCATCGTCATGTGTTGTACTTTGAACCATTCAGGGACAGGGATGGGTTCACCAACCTGCTCCTCCCTCTCCTTATTTTCCATATCCTCCTTGAGCACATCCTGGACCGAGTACATAACAACTCCGTCGTCAAATAGGCTCAAATATGTAAAGCATCCAAGCAACAGCATCAACCCCGACGACAAGTTCGCTAGTTCCTCAACTTCATGCTGCCCTACACCAGGCTGATCTAAAGTCTCAAAGACTTCTATTGTTAAGGTTGCCACTTTTGTAAATAAGTTCAGCAAAAACACCAATGTTTTCAGACTAACTGGTGGTTCAGTTTCGCTCAATATGTTTGTCGCCCTCTTATGCTGCTGCTTCAGCTCCTGCAAACGCTGATGTTGTTGTTGATGGTGGCTATAGATCCTAGAGTCAATGAATTTGAGCAGAATAACTTGCTCTGCACTCAAGAAGGATTCCTTCTTACCCTCTTTCCTATGGTCGCTCTTTTGCGATCTTGTAGTGATTCCATCACCTTCTACCTCTTCAATCTCAAGTCCTCGAAATTTGGATGCCAACTCTCCAGGGTCCTTTAAGCCATTAAAATCTTTTCCATGATAACGAATACTATATTCCTCCTCATTTTCCCGCCCCTGTGTCTTTAGACTTTCAAATAGCTCTGGCAAATACTCTTGATCAACCAGATGGTTGAAGAAAGTATAAATCATCTCAAAACTTTTGCGATCGTCCTTGCTGACGATCGCATGAGATTCGTTGATGAGCTGCACTAAAAGCTTTTTCCCCGCAACAGTGGAGAAGAGTAAGGTACTAGAAACAAAAGAGAAGGGGGCTAGTGTCAGAGTGGTTTTATGTGTGTGCGCATGAAAACTTTGTTTTTGTAAATGCATTATTACCTGCGCTCCTGCGAATTAAAAATACAGTTATAACAAAGCATGACTGTGCTCAATACAATCGATTCGTCCTCAATAGCCACAAGTGTACTTTATGCAAGAATGAGCCACTGGCAGAGTGTCAACAAGCGGACGAAATTTTCATTTGACGAAAACTAAACCAAACCGTATTGATTCAAAAAAAATAAAATAAAATAAAAATAAAAAAAAAAAATTACCCCACCTTAATAAATTTTGATCACAGCTCGTACTAGGGGCCTTGACTAAAAGGTGCTTCCAGATAAGGTTCTTAGATTGCTCGTTTCCTGTCAATAAATTCGATAAAGTCTGTACCCCCGCCCTTAACATTATAATAACTATTTCGCTCAGTTCAAAAAAAAAAAAAAAACGTCCGATCGGTTAAGGCTTGACATGGCGATGATTGGTTCTTTATTTCTGAGTGTAAAAGATTTACTGTGCTTACATGCTGCGTTTCCGTAGTGAGTGTGGGCTGCTTGAGAAACAACCTCTTGAATTAACTGTGGCAGGCTTGCAGTTCTTTTTTTATTTTTTAAATACAAATTGGATTTATTGGGTCATAAAAATGGTAATTTGAAAGCGTTTGAGAAAACATATGCAGGAATAAATGGGGTTTTACCTTGCATGATTCTGATTATCAGACACGTTTGCAACGCAATTACGAATAATACGAAGCAAACACGTGAGCTGTCCCACATGTTCTGGGTCCAATCCATTTTTGACGACCCCTTTCAATACCATGGCAAGATTCTTCCAAACATTTTCATCTTGACCAAGTTCTAAACTAGAGACCAAAAAAAAAAAAAAAAAAAAAAAAAAAAAAGATGAGAGTACAAAGATTATAAAATACAAAGTATCAGAGCAGCATGATACATTTTTTAGGTACTTCTATAAATCCAACTTGGCTTTTTTTTTTTTCTGGCTAGACCAAAAAGCAACAACTTTTTAATATTTACCGAAAGGCACTGTCCGCCTGCAATCGCTTGGCCACTAAATCCAAGTCCTGGTTCCGAGATGTATCAATAGAACCTATGGCTGCCAAGTGCTGGAGAGCGCTAACTAGCTGATCAGTCGACATGGCTCTTTTCTCTTGTTCCATTGTGCGATGTCAATTTAATGAGCATTCTTTTGTTGATGCTTCTATTTTAAACTTTGCTTCACTTCCATGTGGCTGAGAAGGTCAATCCATTTTAATTTAGTGGCAAATGCCGTTCAGGAAATTCTCATAAAGTTTAAGAAGGGTGGACGACAGAAGTAAAAACGTGTTTAGAGCGGAAAAGAAATAAAAAATTAATATCACCATGACTGAATACTTTGAAGGATCAAAGCGTTTGTTACTGTAGGATATAAACAGTGTCAGTCATTTCCGGCGCCTCTTCTATGCGAGACGCATAGGACTTGCATGTTGACATAAAAAAGGTTATTATCTTATTATGGACCCTATTCTCACCTCATTCCCTGTGCTCACTTTTTTCCTTATATTTCTCTTTCACTCATTCACTCTTTTTTCTAAACCTATTTGATAAGACCATGGTTGAACAGGCAGAGCCACCAGCATTATACCTCTTACTCAAGTAACGGCAAGGCCATTTTTATTATTATTTATTTTTTTTACTTTAATAATATCGTGTCATTATCAATTACTTTATCCCCATTTCCTCCCTCCTTTCCTTCACCAGTACCAGCGACCACAATATAGCGTCACTAAATAGATTCTACCCCAATACTGAAACTCTAGGGACACTATGCTCTTTATGCGATATTTGCTGAATGGCGGTAAGTGATGCGTGATTTTTATTTTGTTCAGGCCAACAAAAGTTGGGGAAGCCATGAGCCCATCCCTCTTTTAAATTTTATTTTATTTGTTGATTGATTTTGCTTAGTCGGAGGAATACTCCAGTTCTCTATGTTGTACCTTATTGGCAAGGCACCTCGAAATTTACCATACAAGCAAGGCTGTACTTCGGCGTTTCTCAATAAAGTGTCCAGACATATGTCTGTTCTACAGAGACGCAAGGTATACGCTCTTGGTGTGTATATACAACATATCCTCCAAAATCTTGGTACACCTGAGCTCCGTAACCAGTGGGCTATTGCTATCTTTGGTGATAAAGTTCAAAACTACCAGCTGTCTCCTCAAGAGCAAGCTCTTTGGGCTGCAGACCAATATTGGGCCAAGTTGGGCTTGGCAGATGTTCGTGGTCCTCAAGGCCACACCTGGAAAGGTTATTGGATTCCATTCCAGGATCAAGTCCATCATGTAAAAGACAGTCAGGGACAAGATCAAGCCCAGAAAGTTGACATCTCAAAAATCAAGGTCGGTCAAGGTTGTGACTTGGTTGTAGTTTGCGCCCATGGTGGTTTGTTTTGCGATGGCTGGCCTCTACAGTGCTTGGACTTTATGAAGCAGGTCATGAAACAGGCTCAAGAGAAGCATAATCTCCGAATCGGCTTCCTTTCACTCGATTACAGTAATTTTTTATTCTTACAAAACAAAAGAAGAAAAAAGGTTAATTCTGCTATATTACTGCTTTGATCTGCCATTGGCTACTTTGGCAGTAATTCTATGGTATTGGTGGGTCATCAAATATGAATTCATCACAATTGATCCTCTATTCCAACTTGCTTTGATCTATTACGTACATGTAGGCCTGTCACCCGAGAAACCTTACCCACATGCATTAGAGGAGTCTCTCGCTGCTTATCGCTCTTTGATCAAAGAATACGGTGTGGATCCCAAACGCGTCGTCTTTGGTGAGCGACTATCGTTCTGCAATATTTGTATCTATTCTGTCCATTACTTTTACTTTTTTGACCAGTATCCTTATTGCTCATCCATTACATGCGAAATGACAATAGCTGGAGAATCCGCTGGTGGTAATATCACGCTCGCACTTGCTCTCAAAGTACGGGATGAATTTAAAGGAGAGCTTGATTTACCTCTGGGTATCTACACTATTTGTCCATACCTTTTCATTTCAGAGCCTTATATTCCTACTCTCTTTGACGTCCTTACACTCGAACTCGCGGAGGCCTGCATTGACAGCTATTCTCAGAGCAGACTTGAAGTTATAGAAAGCCCTTATTTTTCTCCTTTAAATACACAGACATTTGCGGGTTTACCACCAATGTTGCTCTTTTATGGAGGGATCGAAATCCTCCGCCCATCGATGGAACAGTTCGTGGAGCGTTTGAAGGAAGATGGCGTTGCCCATCAGGTGATGATGAAGGAAGGTCGAGGCCACGCTTGGTTTTTGATTGATCCCATATCGACTCCAGAGGATCGCAAAGAAGGCATTGAATGGACAAGCCGGTTCTTGGCTGAGATTTATGTAAACCATCATGGAAGGACATAAAGATAGCAATTTATTTATCGTTTCCATAGTGCACGCCCGGGAGTGTGAACACTGGTGAAAGTCTAATCTGAGACAAAGTAAATGATTAAAAGTCTAAAAACAAAGTTTTCACTGCTTTTTTCACGTAAAAAACAGTCGCGTGCCGCGTAAAATCCTGTAACCTATGAATAATGATGTCCTCATTCGCTAAAGACGACAAGGTCATCCCATGCGCAGCTTTGGTCGACACATTATAATACACTAGAATGAGTGGTTTCAGTAAATAGTTTAATGGGCATGCATCACCTTTCTAAAAAAAAAAAAAAAAAAAAAAAGATGATCAGAACACTCTCCTGGGTCGATTTGTCATCGCACAACTTTTGTGCCCTTCTTCCGCTACTACTCTTCCTTATTCTGGATGGTACATTGGCCTCCCCAGAACCACGCAGGCGAGCGTAATCATGAAATAAAGGGAGGAAAGGGCCATAAAAAAATATAGATCTCAGGTCATACCAACATTCACTTTATGGACGTGAAGAACTTTAATGGCTATGGTATATACTTAGTCTAACTCAACCCTTTGACCATTTTATACGTGTACCACATAAATTTTGGTCCCTGAACTCTGCCTCTAATCCAGAAGCTCATGTGCATGGTGTGGCATTTGAGGCAATAGCATGGTGGTCGCATGACTGCGTGGTGGCGAAGCAATAGGATATCTGCTAGACTTCCATGATTACCTTTTTATTATGGCTATGACAAGATGAACTCAAGGTCCAACTTCTTGTTTCTATAGAATGTTATTACAGAAATCGGAGCAGACGCTTACCGCTGATTACCTTGTCTTCACTGTTTCTCCATTTTTTTTTTTTTTTTTTTTTTTCATCCCTTAAATGTGGCTGTTGCATACTGTTGTCGCCTTGCCTCCTTTATTCTTTTTTTTTTTTTTTTTTTTTTTTTTTTTCTTGTTTCTCCTTGTGCACGTAATTCACTTGTACATCACTTGCGTATAGTGATGCTCCTTCACCAGACAGTAAACGTTTTTTTTTTTTTTTTTTTTTTTTTGGGCCCTTGTATTGCTGTGTTGCTCTAGTCATAAACCGACGGGCTGCATCTGCCTGTCTAATATTCTTTTTTTTACTCGTTGAGGATCATTTTCTTAAAGCCACCTGCAAATCTAGAGATAATTGATAAAGATAAAACTTGCTTCCTTCAATAGAACATTGTCATTCCCCTTTTTGCATTTTTTGTTTACAGATCTCATGTCATCTTTTCATTGCACGTACACAGCAATAAAAACCACAGTTTATAAAAAGAAATTAGTTCATGTATGGCAGCAATCGTCCTCATGTTAGATCCAACCACGTCAAGGTAAATCTTAACATTCACAAAGCCTTCATTTTCCATATATTCTAGTGCATTTCGCACAATGCAAATACTACTTATTCTCTACATGCATGTCTTGTTTAGAGGAAACTAGAAAGCATTTTTTACTTTATTTTATTTTACTCTTACTTTTCATTTCCTTTCTCTCTTTCTCTTTCGTCGCATCCTCTGCTCCTCTTCCTGATCTTCTTGCTTTGTCTTTGCATCATTAGACCTTAATTGCCCCCCCATATCCATCAATCGGTCCATTACATTTGTTTGTCTATACCATTTCATAAGCCTATCTGGACCTCTCTCTTTCATCATCCCAGTGCACAAAGGTAGCGGCTGTTCCAAACAATTAACAAAAAAAAAAAAAAAAAAACTATCGCACATAAGCGTATAATAACTAGTGCTATTCGTTATATCGCCATTATCATCTTGCCCTGTGGAGGGCTATCTACGTTCCACTTACCCCACATTTATCGTCATTATTTGGTCATTGATAATTCCCATTTGGCATCTTTTCTTCTTTTTTATTCCTCATCTCCTCTTTATTATACTTTATTATTTCTTACCTCTCCTTCCCAACTTCTATAAAACAATTAGAAACATCGTCATCTCTATTATTTCGCGTCGTCTCTAATTCTTACTCGTTCTTCCCCTCTTTCTCCTATCATTCTGATCATCCGGTGTGGTGTTGTCGATCTTTTATCCTCCTTCCCCCCTTCTCCTTTCTTCTCTTCGCGCTTGTTATCTCGCTCTCGCGCTCTTTCTCCACATCACAGGCACACAGGCTCAAACACGCAGGCACAGACACGCATTTTCCATTAATATCATTATTACCAAACCATTTTCCTCGTAAAAAGATCATATTCCTAGATCGGGGTTTTCCCTCCAACAACTTTATTCTTTTTGCCGCCACTTTTGCTTTTTATGTATTCTTTTTTTTTTTTTTTTTTTTTTTTTTGCAGGTTAAATAGTCTGCTTACTTCTCCTAATCTACTCGTCAAAATTCAAAAGTGGCAAGACACCCACACCACTGTAAGCAGTAAAAAAAAGATCCATCCTATATCTCAAGTAATATACCGCTGTAGGTACAAACCGCCCTTTTCTACTGCTCTTCCATTATTATTATCATCACCATTGTGAAACATCGCTTCCTATCCATATTCACACATAAAGACACATAAATATACTCTACCCAACCATTCTCTTGCCTTTATACTCTTTCTTAGTCCTTACTCATACTACGGCTATATCCCTAATATTCTTTTTTTAGTATACCAAAGACTCCCTATAACCATTGTTTTCTGTCCCTTGTTTTCTTTCTTTTTCTTTTCTTTTCTCTTCTTTTCTCTCTTTTTTTTTTTTTTTTTTTTTTTTTTTTCTTTTCTGTTATTGTTGTCCATCCACAAAAAAAAAGTCTACAAGGGCTTCAAATCATCTCGATACGAATGCTGCAGTAGCAGCAGTTAGACAGATATTACCATCACCCATGTCATCGGCCCATTCAAGCACACCCTGTCCTCCAGAGGAGATGATTTCTACAACCAATTTATCTTATCCACCCACGCTCTCTATTCCGTCCGTGTCTTATCAATCTAATAGTTATAGTTTGCAATATCGGCAACAGGGCCAAGAGTATCAACATCGTATGCCTCCAACGCGACAGAGGCATCGCAGTTTATCAAATGGAGGAAGCCCCTATGCGATCGCGAGAATATCACAGTGGGAAGGAGAGAGCATGAACAGCCCGACTATGAGGCGAGGACCAAGTCTCCCAATGGCCCAACATCAACTTCAATTGCAACAATATCATCAATACCTTGGCAATATTAATGACAATAACAATAGTAATAATAATAGTAATAATAATAATAGTAGTGATAGTAGTAGTAGTAGCAATAGTCACCAATCTGGCTACACTCACCAGCCAACGATGGGGAATCAGCAATGGAATCATCCCAATTACCGACAACAACAGCAGCAGCAACCATCCATGTCTTCGACACCACCTCCTTTTAATAACGCTCCAGTCGTCAGACACCCACTCTGGCGGTTAGAGTGTTCCTCATGTAAAGCAACATTATGTGAACAAGCAATGCAAGGTCACCTCGTTGGTGACCCATCCAAGAAGTTATTCTCCACAAACCTTGCCATTGGGTAATAGAAAAAGAAAAAGAAAAATCCATTTTATTAGGCATGTGTAGACAGACACCTAGACTAAACACGTGTTTATTTTTTTTCGCTCTACCTTATTTCCATTCAGAGTTCTGGGGCTACCAGACCGACCTGTGTCAATTATTTGTCCCTGTAAATTCCATCTTTTTGCCTGTGCCAGCTGGTAAGTACACATTTTTATATTAAAATATTCAACTTTTATGAACGCTTTAACAGACAAACAATCAAAATGCCATTGCATTGCTAACCTGGTGGTCAATGTAATAAAAAAAAAATAACAATAATTAGTGGGAGTGTCTGCGGCTACAACCTGAGCCAACCGTGTGCTGGATGCGAAACAAACCGGGGGAATGGCCACTTCTGGATCTTTTATGCACAAGAGATTATCGCACATTGGCGGACACTTGGGGATCGTAATATGTTCTGGGATGATCTGCCAACTTGGAATCACAAAGCCGATGGCAATGTCGGACGATGAACGAATAGCTTTTTTTTTTTTATTTTTATTTTTTATTTTTTTTTATTATTATCCCCCCACCAATCCCTCTTCCTTCCTTCCTTTCTTTCTTGCTTGCTAGCTTGCTTCTTGTACTTTTTATTACTTCCCCTTCTTTTTTTTTGACCCCCTGAATCGACTTCATATCGATGTGTCGATCTGCCCAAAAAAAGGCAAAGCAAGAATTAACGTAGAGAGCAAGAGAACAACCAAATCAAACTGTGGATGTGAAAGGAATCCTTTTCTCTTATCTACTTGCCCTCTCTTCCCTAAAACCAAGGCTCGATACTACGGTTATATTAATCGCTTAAACGAAATGTTCAGAATTAGAAATGAAGTGATTAGGCTTCAAGGTTCCCAAAAAAAAAAAAAAAAAAAAAAAACAAACAAACAAACAAACAAACAATAAAAAGAGTTGGTTAGAAGACTTGTTGCCTAGTTTCATTTTTTTGCTTGTAAAAGGGGGTGTGTATGCCAATGAGGTGTATTGCGTGGACTTTCTCTCCTCCCATTTTTTATCCCTTAAGGTTTAAAAAAATCTATACAAATAAAAGATTTTTCTTTTTCCTTGGCTATCCATTCTTACAGTACAGCATCATATGTATACTGTATTTCACACTTTCCGATTACCTTCAGCTTATAGTAAGAACGCGTAGAGCAAATGTGTTGGTCAGAGCGTCGAGATTAGAGTAACACAAGGCTACGCTTGTGCTTTTTATTAAAGTACATGTACATGTACATGTACTAAAAATACAATCAACCCTGTGCATGTAAAAAAAGTAAAAATGGAAAAGAGCGCGTTACACAGATATGGCGTTTAGAGTTATGGACCTTTAGAGATATTAAAGACACCTTTTACTTAGATATCTTTTACTGTTAATGGGTTTGTTGTATTCCTCGCCGAGCTTTTGAAGAGGAAGGACATTGTTATTAAAAAAAAAAAGAAATTATTCAAATGGTGATAATAAAGAATGTGAAAGATCATGTTTCTTTTTTCATTAAAAAAGGATTTGCAAATAACGCGTTGTGATTGGGTCTGTGTTGTAAGATTCAGGGCATCAACAAACAAGCATGGCGGTATAAACTGAGCTTTAAGGAAAGTATTCCCTGGTTATAGATTCATTTGAGTATTTTTTTTTTTTTACTTTTATTATATGCAATCCAGAGCAGAGTTATAGCTATTCCTATTGAAGCAATAGAGCAACCACTGCTAAGACTTTCAATGTAAATCTCTCAATGGAGTATTAATAGCTCTCTTCTCCTATATCTATATCTCTGAATGATCTTTGTAAATACAAGTTGTATTTTAGTATGTTCAATTGAAAGTATCATGGTGTAACAACGATATATATCGTCCTTTTGACCTTAACTGGAAAATGACTGTCCAACTCCCCCGTTAGGCTCGATTTGAGAACCACTTGGTGCTCTCAATATTTGGGGCTAAATTTATACAGTCTCTCCTAATCTTTAAACATATTTATATCGCCTATTCTTTAAACATGTATAATATATATATATATTTATACCCAAGAACAGGGTGCATGGATCAGCCTATAAAAAAAAAAAAAAAAAAAAAAAAAACGTTAGACTAGAATGTTAAAAAAAAAAGTTATTGCTCAGATTGCCGATGGCTGGGCTGGGCTGGATAGGGATAGATGATGTATTTTTATATACCTCAGAAAGCTACCAGCCAATTGCTGTAAAAGAAAAAAAAATAGGACAGATTCTAAAAAACCATAGTTGATCTGTGGGTATGCGAATAAAGAAATATTTACCATTGCCCAAGAGTAGGACAGATACGATAGAAAGCTGGTATAGGTTAAGATGGAACAATGATAGTCCAATAAACTATGGGTCGTCCTAACTCATGTTGCGGTCCACGCTTCTCTTGAGCTCCTTGACCTTATTTTTTTTCACTATATTACTCCACTCTTCATTCCCTTATATTCCTCCTTTCTTCTCTCTTTTTTTTCTTTTTTTCTTTTTGTCTTCACACTCACCCTTCCCTCACCTTTCCTTTCCTTCTTTCCGACTTATCATTGAACCCTTCCTTGCACTGACTGTGCCACTGTTATTTAGTCTTTTAATCTTTTTCTCGCATCAATTATAACCCTCTCCCTCTCAAAACTAAAATTTTATTATCATCATTGTTGCCGTAGTCTATACATCCTTGCCTCACCTTTTAGTCTTCCTGCTCTTACTCGTAAGGACTCTTACGACACTTTTTATTATTACATTTGCCTTTACCATTATCATTATTGTATTTGCGACTTTAGACAACCGTCATTTGATTTTTTTTGTTAACGCTTTATTTTTATTTTAATTATTTTTATTTATCTTAAAGAAGGCATAACCTTTGCGTAAAGACCTCAAGTGTGAAAGGCTTTACACCGTGACATCTTTCTGATTCACAGTTCTGGTCATTCTGAAAAAAGGTACATTTTGAATTAACATTGCATCTGCATCTACATCTACATCTAACAGAAAAAATGGCTCTCATGCCGAAGAAAAAGGGAAAAAAAATTTGCCAATGGTGAAGCAACCAATGATTTTAACGTTTCTTTTTTTATACATTTAATGTTTAACGTTTAATGTTTGTGCATGGATCGTGTCCCCCTCTCTTCTATCTTTATATCCTTATCCTTCCTTTTCATTTCCTCCCGCTACGATCAAAACGTGTCCTTTTTTTTTCTTCTTTTTGCTCCCTCAGTTATTGTACCATGTCCCAATACAACGGAAATCCCCAATATCCACCTGCACAACGTCCTGCCTCACCACAACAGCCTTATTATGCTGGTCCCCCACAACGTGCCCTTTCGAACAATAGTCAACGCTCGGCTAAATCAGGTCGTCTAGCACCTCCACCTGCCGATGGTGGATATTCTCCTCAACAATCCATTGGATACTCTGGTCCTCCTGGTCCAGGTGGCGCTGGAGGATACAACCGCAATATCGGCCATGTTGGGTTCGATATTGATGAGAGAGACAATGCTGGTTTGTTAAACAATCAAGGCAGAGCCGGTGGAACTCCACCTAGAACTCACTCCAAACTCGATAGAAAAGCGACCATGAACCGTAGAGTAAGTGTTGTACTCATGAATATGTATAAAAAAAAAATAACGCGACTCTATTCCAATGGCTCTTTTTTTTTTTTTTTTTTTTTTTGCTCTTCCGCTCTGGAATGTTTTGGCTGTCCAAGGGAAAACGCTCAAAAAAAAAAAAAAAAAAAAAAAAGAAAGAAAGAAAAAGGGATAAGAATAATTGGATGTCTTACTCCCACAAGGCGAACCCTATTTATTAATATACATCCATATTTATTATTATTGTGCTCTCATAGTCCATTTGTCACGTCCCATTGACGGATGGCAACCTAGTCATGGATTGCCCAGTTCCTCGGCAGTTACTAGAGAATGCACACTTCAAGGGTGAGCGTGAGTTCGAGTTTATGCGCTACACTGCTGCCACCTGTGACCCTAACGACTTCTTCAATGAGCGTTACACTCTCCGTCCCACTCTCTATCGTCGCCAGACCGAGCTCTTCATTGTCATGACCATGTATAACGAAGATGACGAGCTGTTCATCAAGACCATGGGCTCAGTCATGAAGAACATTGCTCATCTTTGCACACGTGCAAAGTCCAAGACCTGGGGCAAAGATGGTTGGAAGAAAGTAGTCGTCTGTGTTGTGGCAGACGGTCGCAAGAAATGTCATCCACGTGTGCTCAAGGTCCTGGCTGCCATGGGTGCTTATCAAGAGGGTATTGCCAAAGATACAGTTGCAGGGAAACCTGTCACAGCTCACATCTACGAGTATACAACTCAGGTCATGGTGGACTCGGACCTCAAGGTCCGCAGCTCAGACCGTGGTATTGTCCCTGTCCAGATCCTATTCTGTCTCAAGGAGCAGAATAAGAAAAAGTTGAACTCCCATCGTTGGTTCTTCAACGCATTTGCACCTCAACTTAACCCCAATGTGTGTATTCTCCTTGATGTCGGAACGAAGCCCTCAGGAACTAGTATCTACCATCTGTGGAAGGCCTTCGACCGTGACTCTTCTATCGGAGGTGCATGTGGTGAAATTTGTGCCGATTTAGGACCCAATTGTAGCAACTTGTTGAACCCTCTGGTGGCATCGCAGAACTTTGAGTACAAGATGTCAAATATCTTGGACAAGCCTCTCGAGTCTGTCTTTGGATACATTTCAGTCTTGCCAGGAGCATTCTCTGCATACCGTTACAAAGCCTTGAAGGACTCTTCGCCTGGTGTAGGACCTTTGTCGTCGTACTTCAAGGGAGAGACCATGCATACCTCTGGAGATGCTGGTATTTTCGAGTCCAACATGTACCTCGCAGAGGACCGTATCTTGTGTTTCGAGCTGGTGGCCAAGAAGAACGAGGCTTGGTTGCTCAAGTATGTAAAGTCTGCGAAGGCAGCAACGGATGTGCCTGATAATATCGGAGAGTTCATTTCACAACGTCGTCGTTGGTTGAACGGCTCATTCTTTGCAGCCTTCTATTCGCTCGCACATTTCACCCGTATTATCACTTCAGGACAAGGCTTCTTCCGCAAGATATTTTTGTTGATTGAATTTTTGTATAACGCCGTCAACTTGATCTTCAATTGGTTCTCGCTGGCAAACTTTTATCTGACATTTTATTTCCTGATCAAGGCAGCTGCCAACAACTCGAACAAAGACTTTTCACCCTTTGGAAATTGGGGAAATATCACTTTTGAGGTGATGCGTGAGATGTATATTGCCTCGATCATCATTGTCTTCATCTGCTCTCTCGGAAACCGACCACAAGGATCAAGAATCATCTTTTTGACTGTGATAGGATTGTTTGCAATCATTATGGGTTTCATGCTCTATCTCGCAGCTGCTACAGTCTACACGGTTGTTTCACCCGTTGCGGGTAACTATCGTCAGATGCTTGACTTGATGAACGAGCGAGGCCCCTTCCGTGATACAGTGATTTCGTTGCTGTCAACCTACGGTCTTTACATTGTTTCGTCGTTGATGCATCTTGAGCCCTGGCATATGTTCACATCGTTCATGTCATACTTGTTCCTGTTGCCCGCATATATCAACATCTTGATGGTTTATGCGTTCTGTAACACGCACGACGTCTCGTGGGGAACTAAGGGAGATAACAAGGCGCCAGAGTTGGGAGGAGCTACCGTTGTCACCAAAGATGGCAAGGAAGTCATCAAGTTAGAGAAACCCACGTCAAGAGAGGATGTTGATGCAATTTATGAGCTTAACATGCAAGAGTTGTCAGTCCGCCCAGATTATGTAAAGGAGAAGCGTGACAAGAAGACGAAACAAGAGGATTACTACAAGATGTTCAGAACTCGATTGGTTTTGACCTGGATGTTCACAAACGCGATGTTGGTGATCGGAATGACAAGTGACTGGATTGGTAAAAACGATACCCTCGCTACTAGGCCACCAACTAACGAAGAGATGTTCCATCCTTATCTGTCGATGATCTTCTGGAGTGTCGCTGCATTGAGCTCTGTACGCTTCGTCGGATCAACTATGTACTTGATCCTCAGAGCGTTGTTTGGTTAAGCGTTAAAACAAAACAAAAAAGTGTGGATATAGTAGATGCGCCACACTGTCAAAAAAAAAAAATTGTTACTCGTAATATATATATAGACCCCCTGGTATAAAATTAATTAAACATTAAGCCCCACTAATAATCTATTCAATTATAATATGAAAAATGACTTTTACTTTGGCGCGTCGCGTTATGTCTATGCTATGTGCTGCGGTTTCTACGGGAGTGGTCACATAGTGGGTCAAACAACGCTGTAAACAACTTGTACGCGCAGTCACACGGACCACTATCCTCTGTCTCTCCTCTCCCCAACAGGTACTTCAAAGGTCATTCTGCATTCTTCTTTTTTCATTTGCTTCGCTCCATTTGAAATGTCGTCCTGTTCGAGGATCACCTCTTCAGGAGGGGTTATGAACATGACACGGCGCATGGTCATGCGTTCTTCACGTCTACTTCATAACAATGTTACCTTTATTCTCCGACCCAAAAACAACACCCTGCCGCTAACTGTGCACTCAACTCTTGTCTCTAAGACAACTATACCAGTACTTTCACAGCTGAGATTCTCAACCTCGGCTTACAATTCTTCTTCCTCCTTTGTAGGGAAGGATGGAGGAGAGATAGGATCCACAACACTTGGACAAGGAATCCAGCTACCAGCCGTTGGATCACTACAGCCCATAGACTATGCAGCCATTGAGCAGAAATGGCTCAAGCGATGGAAAGAGATGAAGACAAAGGCATTGGCAGCGGAGGCAGCCGCAAATGAAGCTGCCAACAAAGGAATGACTGAAGAAGCTATCGATACAAAACAATGGACTCCGGAAGAACGAGAAAAATTTTACATCCTGTCCATGTTTCCATATCCTTCAGGAGTATTGCATATGGGACATGTTCGTGTCTATACGATCAATGATGCCCTAGCGCGCGCCAAGAGGATGATGGGGTACGATGTAAGTTTTTCTTTCTTTCTTAAATATTTATTTAATTTTCTTTTTCGGATGATTTCGGATTTAAACGATATTGAACATTCTTCTTACACGGATTTGTTTTTTTTTTAGGTTGTTAACCCAATGGGTTGGGACGCCTTCGGACTACCAGCAGAGAATGCAGCAATTGAGCGCGGGATTCATCCGAATGAATGGACTATCAAGAATATTGATATCATGAAGTCGCAGATGGAAAAGATCTTGGCAGACTTTGATTGGGATAGGGTAAAGAAGCAAATGATAAAAAAGAAAAGGGAAAAAACTTCGTCCACTGTAAGGAATTAATATGATACAAACACTTCTTTTTTTTTTAGGAATTGAGAACATGTAGTCCAGAATATTATAAATGGACCCAGTACCTGTTTTTGAGATTGCATGAAGCTGGACTCGCGTATCAAAAAGAAGCCGTTGTCAATTGGGATCCTATTGACGAAACTGTTCTTGCAAATGAGCAGGTAAAGCAGCTTTCAATATCCAATGATAAGGAAGCATCATTTCTTTTTTCCTTCGTCTGCTAACCTAGTACGAAATGGCGCTATGTTATATCTAGGTTGATGCAGAGGGCAAGTCTTGGAGATCAGGCGCAGTGGTAGAGAAGCGGAAACTCCGTCAATGGTTTTTCAAGATCACAGAATATGCTGATGATCTCTTACAGGACTTGGATCGCCTCCAGCATTGGCCCGAGCGCGTTAAACATATGCAAAAGAATTGGATTGGTAAATCTCAGGGCGCAGAGTTTGATTTTACAATACCTGGACTTGCTTCTTCCACAAAATCTGATGTCAATCAAAAGATTCAGGTGTTCACATCAAGGCCGGATACGATTTATGGGGTTCAGTTCTTGGCTGTGTCAACAGATCATCCTATCCTAAACAATGTCCCAGAGACCCATTGGGAGTCCGTAGAAGGATTTAAGGACATGATGAAGAAGGCCAGTTCTCCCGTTGCTGATCAAGGAGCTGCTCCTGAAGGTGTTCCCACAGGATTGTTTGCGAGCCATCCATTCATACCGGATGCAAAGATCCCAATCTATGCTGTTAACTATGTGCTCTCAGATTATGGCACAGGAGCGGTGATGGGCGTTCCCGGACATGATGAGCGTGACTATGAGTTTGCAACAAATCAGAAGATGGACATCAAGTATATTGTGGCACCAGTAAAAGAATTGAATGATCAGGAACCATCTTTGTCCTTGAACACTGCCCGTGATGGCCCTATCACTGCTCGAGGAGTGCTCACAGGTGACAATGGTGAATTTTCTCATATGGCAAGTGAAGAAGCAGCAGAGGCTGTTGTCAGGAAAGCCACTGAACTAGGGTTTGGCAGAGAAAAGACAAGCTTTCGTATCCGCGATTGGCTGCTTTCTCGCCAGCGATATTGGGGTGCTCCAATCCCGATGATCCATTGTAGCGGATGTGGTCCTGTCCCAGTGCCGGCTCAAGATCTGCCAGTGCTATTGCCCATGGATGTTTCATTTACAGGACGTGGAGGTAGCCCTTTGAAACAGATAGAGAGCTGGGTCAACTGCTCTTGTCCCAAGTAAGCCCTAAATTCAGTCTATAAACATTCTTATAGCCTTCACCGATAAGTATTGACTCTTTCTCTCTCCCTTCTTCTTTTTTTCGTGCATTGATGTTTGCCATAGGTGCGGTCGAACAGCGCAGAGAGACACAGACACGATGGATACATTTGTGGACTCTGCTTGGTACTTTTTTCGTTTCCTGGATCCTCATAACAAGCACCTACCTTTTTCGCATGCTAAAGCCACGGCCGGTATGCCAGTCGATCTCTACATTGGAGGTGTAGAACACGCTATTTTGCACTTGCTCTACTCTCGCTTCATTTCCAAATTTGCATGGAAGACTGGCCTTTACGGCAAAGGTGCTGAGGTTGAGTCAAAGGAAGGTAAAGAGCCTGGAAACGGTGAGCCGTTCAAGGTGTTGATTACTCAAGGCATGGTTCAAGGCAGGACGTTCAAGGATCCGGTCACTGGAGCATTCTTGAAGCCGTCTGAAGTGGACTTGACGAATCCTCAAAACCCTATTCAAATTTCAACAGGTCAGAGGCCGTTACAAAGCTGGGAAAAGATGAGTAAGAGCAAGTATAATGGAGTCGACCCTGAAGATATGATCCGATCGCATGGAGCGGATGCGACTAGACTACATGTATTGTATAAGGCACCACCATCTGAGGAACTGGAATGGGATGAACTGAGTATTGTTGGAATGCAAAGGTTCTTGACAAAAGTATGGAAGATTGTGGGCCAAGCGTCAGCAACTCCTTTGGACACTACTTTTAATACAGAAGAAGGGTTCAAACCAACATTAGAAGATTTGAGCAAAGATGACCGCGATCTTTGGCGCATACTTAACACCACTGTAAAGGAGGTAAGTAGCCTCTTTTGTCATTGTTTTTGGCGTTGTCTTTGTTCGCGTGTGTACTTTTTGAGACGCATCAAGAGTGGCATTTCTCATTCTCATTGATGCATTTCTTTCTTTTTTTTATTTTTTATTTTATTTTTGTGTGAAATCTACAGCTTACAACATCATTCCAGAGCACATATTCGTTCAACACTTCGATCGCATTCTTGATCAAGCTGGCCAATCATATCTCATCAGTGAATCCTGCCTCTTCAGTTGCGGGCCAGCCATCGCCAGTGTCACCATCGTCATTATCCAGAAAATCGTCTAAAAACAATAAGACCCAGGCTATAGTATCTCCTGATCTCTACCGTCATTCTGTCCAGGCCCTTATCAAGATGCTGTCTCCTTTCGCTCCCGCATTTGGTGAAGAATGCTGGGAGGTACTGAGCAATAATACCCCAATGATTACGGCTACCGACCCTACTCCTATTACAAATGCAACGACATCAATCCCCTCACAGGAATTAACGTCATCAAGATTTTCAGTCTTCTCGCAAGCCTGGCCATCATTTGATGAAGAGGCATTGAAAGCGGATAAGGCCGTATGCGGAGTTCAGATCAATGGCAAACTAAGGTTTAATGTTGAGTTTCAGGTGACAGATCTTCCAGAGGAGAGTGACAAAGCAGGACAGGAGCAATTTTTGAAGGAGCTAATTTACAAGCATGAGCGAGCGAACAAATGGCTGAAGGATGAAAATGGTCAGACACTTCCAGTCAAGAAGATGATTGTAGTCAAGGGTGGAAAGCTAGCGAGCATTGTCCTTTAATTTATGAGGTTATATAACTATGTACTAAGATAATTGGATCTATTCACCTTCAAAATAAAGCAAAAAAAAAAAAAAAAAGTTACTCTTCGTGGACAATGCTCAAAGGCTATTAACCAATCTTTTTTTTTTAATTGTTCCGATATTGCGATCATTATGTTTAAAAATCTGACTTTAGCGTGAATGCAAGGGGTTGGCATGCTCTAGTCATCCCTTTCCCCTACTTGTCCCAAGCAATATTCTCCCCCTACTAGCCTTTTCACAATATACTCGGAAAGCGAATGCTCTAAAACCCATACGGACTATACCTAATGCCTCGGATCTTCCTAACACGTGATGCTCATTGATCAGCCTCCGAAGCTGAGGTCAATTTATTACCTTTGGTAGGATCAGGCGCCGTGATTATGGACCTAGAAACTCATATTAAAGGAAAAAAAAAAAAAAAAAAAGCGATAAAAGAAGTAGCATGAACACGTCTATCGAGACTATGGAAGCCTATTGATGTGGAGCATTGAAGATTTCACATTCAAATCTATTTGTAGATCTACCGATCTCTGTTTATTTATTTATATATCATCATCAAAGCTCTAGCTGCGCTCATGCACCCTGGGTGTGGCTCATGCTTACATGGATCACCCACACTCACTTGACTAGCCAGTGCAACTTAGCAAAAATGACCTTTCAGTGAAAAGCTAATCAACTTCCATACTGAAGACATGGAATAGGCATACGTATGTGCTCAATGGCAACTAGGACTATTCGAGCCAGTTGGCGAAGTCCCACGTAATATTATACATTTCAATGGCTCAAAGCTCCATTTCCTTCCTTAGACAATGTTCAAAGGTATTTACCCTTCTACCAATATTTCAGACAAACAATGTTTATTGCTAATTGTTTACTATGTTGCCGCTTCCAAGCTGCACTCTATCCTCAGGATGGCCAGGCTCATAGGCAAAAGACTTTTGTTTTGTTATTTAGAGGTAGATAGTCTTTTGTGGATTATTGTTTTGGCCTTTGGGCTTCTTTGAAAATATTTTTAGTGTATCCTTGCGCAGTGCCTCGGATGATTGGCTTTGATACCTTTCAGTCGGCTGCCATTAGTTGGCTGGCTTTGGCTGAATGACTTCGGCTGGCTGGCTTCGGCCGACTGACTTCGGCTGGTTAGCTTCGGCCGACTGACTTTGGCTGTCTGGATCATTCTGGATTGCCTTTGTGGTTTGATTGATGTTGGTATGTTTGTTTTGATTGAGGCACCCTGTGTTTATTTTACCTGGGGCTCCCTTTGGTGATTTGGTTAAGGCTGAGTGTGTTTACTTTGACTGGGGAGCTCGCGGCTACCTTGACTAGCGCTGCCCCTAGTGGTTTGATTGAGGCAGCCTGTGCTGGTTTTGATCAAGGTACTCTACTATTGGCTTTAATTAAGGTTGCCTTTGGTTGATTTAGTTGAAGCTGCCTATGTCTGGTCTGGCTGTAGCCGCTATGCTTGATCGGGCGGAGAGCGCTGGATGAAGCTGCCTTGTATTAAGCTTAGTTGTGGAAGTCTTCGGTTGACTATGACTTTGGCGTTGGCTTTGGCTTTTTTGATTTTGTTTTTGTTTTTTGAGTTAATTCTTTTTTTCTTTTCCTCATCTTTTTTGTTCTTTACTCTGTGTTTTGGTTTTATCTTTTTTTTTTTTTTTTTTTTTTTTTTGCTTTGGGGTTTTCTCTCTTATGTTTGTGTGTTTGTGTGTTCGTGTTCGTGCGTGTTTTTTTTTTTTTTTTTTTTTTTTTTTTTTTCCTTCTGCTGTTAGATGTTGGGTGTTGACTGCTGACTGCTGGCTCTTGACTATTGGCTTTCGGCCCTCGGCTGCTGTCTGCTTTCTGTTGGCCCTGCGCTCCTAGCCGCATTCGAAGCATGGTGCTCTTCGATCTATTTTTATGCCTCAAGGTCCTCTACTCCTCTTATGACCCTTGCTCTCGCTTCTCCAAGCAGAGGTCTCATTGCAATAGTCTATCGAGCGACTAGCCAATGAAGCCCTACTATGACCAGAGTACCTTTGGTTCAGACGGCAAGTAACAGGTCACACAACATGACGCCTCTACGCCATGCACTACACACTACAGCCAGGCGCCTGGTGCAGCTTCGCTAATTGGGGTAATCTAAGGATGATGTCAGTAACAATGAACTATTTACTAAACACTATAGAGCTCCGAGTTGCCAAGATCCCACCTAAACAGAGAGAACAAAAGCAATGGTAGAATCAAGTTAATATGCCCTTTGCTATGTATGCGCATGTATACTTACCTGAGGTGTTATCAGGCCTTGATAACACCTGGTCCTGATCCTGATCCTGATCCTGCTGGATGGAGGATCTCCTTGAAGGCCGGGACTCGAGCTCTATAGGGCCTAGTAAACAGGCCACTGCTACTGACTTACCATACTTAGACGACCACAACTGTGTGTCATCTGTTACCTACGCGAAATCCCCAAGGGCACTCGGATCAAAGTAAGGTCCAGAGGCTAGAGGCTCTCTAGAGCTACTACAATGATCCCCCTTCAAGGAGTTGCGAGGGCTTGACGGAAGGATCGGCGAAGGGGATCGGCGAAGGGGATTGGCGGGCAGGCGGGCAGGCGGGAGGAGGGCCCGGCGGGCTAGAGTCCAAGCGGATGAGCCTCTAAGGGAAGAAGACAAAAAAAAAAACACGCGTGGTTAGAATATTTGGTAATCAGAGCACAGCAGAGTACAGACAGAAAATCACGACATGTGCTTCTAAAAGAAATTGTACTTACAGCTCCGCTTTCGCCCCATTTCGATAAGCACTGCATGGGCCCATTGCAGTCTTTGGGACAATCGTCGCCATGAGCCTAGGGCTAGTGGCCCCTATTACAGCTAGGAGGAAGACGAAGAAAAAAAAAAAAAAAAAAAAAAAAGAACGAAGATAGCTTTGTAAGTATGCTAAGCTTATTCGATGGTAGGGACAATCACAAGCAAGACAAAGCGAAGCCATGCATAAACTATATACTTACTTGATGACAGCGGCGAGGGCTCTTCTGTGAATGACCAGGTGAGGCTTTTTTTGCTTTTTCTGGTCTGTAGTTTGCTGTTGAGTTGTTCAGAGTGTTTCCTAGTTCTGCTCTGTATCTGGCTAGAAGTTTGTATCATTTGTGGTCTAACAGTGATGTGAAAGAGAGAGAAAGAGAGATAGACAGGAAATAAAAAGTCAGAACAAGTACAGTGCAGCATAAGGTGAGAGAGTTAGGACTTTAGTGAGGGTGAATATTTGTGGAGTGTTGCTTACCTTTCATGTTGGTCGAGGAGGCTAAACTGGAAGAGAAGAAAAAAAGGGAAAGAAAGAAAAGAAAAGAAAAGGAAAGGAAAAAAAAAAAAAAAAAAAAAAAAAAAAAAAAAAAAAAAAAAGTTTATTTTATATCGAAAGCACTCGCGAGTAAAGGACGAATGGATGAATGATGAGTGGTTTTTGAAGTCGCGCAGGAAAAATGATAAGTGAAACCAATTTGCGATTTCAGAGTATTGACTGAATAATGAATATATCAAGCATCTTGCTTTTTGTACGCTCTAGAGCTCTAGAGCGGCCAAAAAAAAAAAAAGAAAAAAAGAAAAAAAGCGGCATAGCGGAATTTGAAAATGGATAATATGCGCACTACATGATATCATCCGTCATTTCTCATATGCATACAAGAGAGAAAAAGAGAAAGTACTCATGGGTGGAGGTGGGGAATAGCATTGCTAACATTCCGTCTTCAAGATCTGCAAGATCATCTAAACAACAATATTAGGCTACCCACAAACAATCAGAGCACGAGCCACATTGCTCTCTGCATGCTAAGGTGGTGCAACAAAGAAATATCTATTTAGACAGTGAGATTCAGAGCACAAGCACATTAACACTCGCATGCTATCATTTTCAACAACATTCAGCTCGAGTATCTATTATTAATCCTTCGTAATGGAGTTCACCAGACACTACCAGTCAAGCTTGCTTCTTTATTCTCTCTCTTCACTCCCAATAGCAGATGGAATAGACAGACTATCGCAGGAACTGTACCGTAGCAGCTTTTGTCCAAACAGACCTTTTTTTTTTTGTTTTTCCAGAACGCGGTAAAAGTAAGACACATCACTCGTGTGCTTTTTATTGGTCGACATACAAATATTAATTCGCTTTCAAATAAAATAAAATAAAATGCACAGCCTAATCAGCTGTCACATGTCATATGTTTATATTTTATTACTTTACATGAAAATAATAAAAAAGGACTGCGAGTGAGTTGAGAATTGGCATATGTCGTATTCTGGGAAAAGGCATTAGGATACAACCTGCCGAAACACAGTTCTCGATTGTCTATCACATCTCTTGTGAGGAGTGAAGAGAGGAAATAGAAGAAGAGAATAAAAATGAAAGCTTGATTGGTAGTACCTAATGAGCCCTATTACCAAGAATCAAAAAGTACTAGAGCTTAATGTTAATGAAGTAAGAGTATGCGAATGCTAATATGGTTGTGCCCTGAAACTCATTTTTTTACTTTCAGCCGCATCACATTGCTCGCTGTCTAAATGGATCTTTTTTTCTTTGTTGCGCCACCCCACCATGTAGAGCGGCTAAACAGTTCGAGGGCAGTAGGCTTGTATTTTAGTTATTGCTGTTGTTTATACAGTCTCGCAAAGCTTGAAGATTGTACGCGAACAAGTGCCTACACAAGCAAGGCGTCATTTAATATGGCGACAACGCATCCCAAGATCCCAAATGAGCATACGCCTGAACTGGCCCTTTGTAGCTTAGAATGTAGCTAGGTAAACTCGATAGCTAGATAGCAAACAATTTCTCAATAAAGATTAAAAAGTGTTTGATTCAAATAGCAAGTGACGCCTCTCTTAATGCATCTTCTGTTGCGCTGTGTCTGTGCTTTGGAACGATAATGATCAAAAGGCAAGCTCAGGCGAATTCGCAAAGGGCAGCCGCTTCTCTGAATGTCTGTTCCTATGCGAAGCAGTCTGTATCCTTTGAGACCATTAAAAAGAAAAATGTTAGGCTTGTAACCAGCCTGAGGAAAAGCCGCCGACGTTGTGACGGCGAATCTTTTTTTCTCAGGGTTACGAGCCTAATGATTACCTAAAACCCAGAAAGTCGTCTTCTGTGGAGTGGGGTGTGTGGGAGATGATAGGGGTAGAATAAAAGATAGAAAACTAACCAACAACAAAAATAATTAACGAAGTGGACTTTAGTGGAGTGTGGACTTGGGTGAGCTGGTCCGAGCTCTTCTTGGTCTCTTTCTTCTGGGGTTCTTGAGTTTCTTGAGCCGCGGCTCGATCAATTTCAGGTTTGGAGTCTTTTATTCTTGGGTTGGGCATTCGCTGAAGAGAGGATTTTGGTTCTTCCTTAGACTTCTTTATATGCTGAATTTTTGAAGAATTGAAAATTGATGGGGATTTGCTAGACTAAGTTTTCTATAAACGATGATGGATGTTGGGGTTTGTATCAATGGGATCTGTTTTCTCTCTCTACTTATTCATTTCTGCACTCTTCCTATTTCTATTTACCATTTCTTGTCTTCTTCATCGTTGGGCACCTGCTGAGGTGGTTTCGGTTAGTCTTGTGGGTGTACTTCTCTTGGTCGTTCAATTAGAGGTGAACCACTAGATTTCGTATGACCATGCCTCAGAGCCTAGAAAAAGGTGGCCATTCTCCTGCCGATCCATTGCACATAAGCCACTCAGCCTTAGCAACTCCACAAAGTAAAACTACTTCGCCACACTTTCTCATCAAGCTTTCTTTTGCACCCATTAAAGAAATTACTTGAGCTTGCTTCTCTTTCTCCTTTTTCTTCACCTTCTGCGGCTTCTTTTACTTCCTTCTATTCCTTCTACTTTTTTTTTTTTTTTTTTTTTTTTTTCATTTTTTCCTTTATAACAACATGTCTGAACGTAAAGTACTCAACAAATACTTCCCCCCCGATTTCGATCCTGCATTAATCCCTCGTCGCAAGATCGAAAAGGATGCACAACAAAAAGTCCGTCTCATGACCCCATTCTCCATGCGTTGCAACACTTGCGGCGAATACATCTACAAGGGCAAGAAATTCAACGCTAGGAAAGAAACGACCAACGAAACTTATCATAGTATCAAAATTTTTCGATTCTATATCCGTTGTAATCGGTGTGCGGCCGAAATCACTTTCAAAACCGATCCTGCCAATACAGATTATGTAGCCGAAAATGGTGCTCAACGTAACTTTGAACCTTGGAGAGACGAAGACGCTGACAAGGTCGCAGAACGGGAACGGGAAGAGGAAGAGCAGAATAATCCGATGAAGGCTCTCGAACATCGAACTCAGGATTCAAAACGGGAGATGGAGATCATGGATGCTTTGGATGAGATCCGTACTAGGAATGCAATGAATGAACGTTTGGACGCAGACGCTGTCTTGAATAAAATATGGAGTGGAGACGTTGATAATACTCTCCAGAAAAAACAACAAGAGGATGAAGAGGATGATCGGTTAGCTAAACAAGTCTTTAAGGATGTGGATGGCGAGAGTGTCAAGCGATTGTGGGACAATGATCAGGATCTCTTGAATGATTCTGGCGAACTGGATGCCACCAAAGTTGCCAGGGCCAAATTTTCACAGTCGCTTGCTTTGCCAGATTTCAGTACTCCTTTAACTAAGAAACGTAAACAAGGTGGATCTCTTGGACTTGTCAAAAATATTGTTTCAACATCCAAAGCAACGCCTGCAGCATCATCATCATCATCACTCTCTCCCTCTTCTCCCTCTTCTTCTTCATCATCACCTTTAGCTTTGGCCACAAAAAATTCATCTTCACCGTCAGTACCATCAACACCGTCTAATACAGCAGCAAAACAAGCTTCTAAACCCGCCTCGTTACTGTCACTTGTAGGATCCTATGGCTCAGATTCCGAATCTGATGCGGACTAAAGAAGTAAAGATCTGATTTTCTTGTTTTTAATTCTAATACCTGTAGTAAATATTGCAATATGACGAGTTTTTTATTATCCATAATGATTCATGATTTAAAGCGTTACTTTTTGAATTTTATCAAACAAAGGAGAGAAAACAGAAAATAGGAAATAAGAAATAGAAAATAGAAAATAGAAGAAACAATAGTTCATTGGCACTGAAATTTTTTTTTTTATACATTTCTCTTATGAAACTAATCACACTACACTTCTTGCCCAACCGTCCCCTCCACTTTTCATCTCTTCATTCGTTTTTATTATGCCGCTATTGAAGAAGTGGCTGATGCTGATGCTGACGTTGATGTTGATGCTGATGTTGATGTAGATGCAGATGCAGCAGGTTTAGGTGCAGAACGAATCTTTTGTTGAAACGGCACATTAAATCCACTCATTAAGAGGCGAGCTTCCAAATTTGTGCTGGCAGTTGTGTTAAAGGTGACGTCGAATCCAGTCATCCTTGGAAACATATCATAATTGTTTTCAATCTCTGGAAATAGGGACATGGCCGAAGCCGGGAAACCCATTCCGATGTTGCCGGTCGCATCTCCTGCAGACTCGGGTAATCCAGGCCATTCCTTCATCTTGGGCAACACAATCTCAACAAGCTTGTCCAAAAATTGATACATCTTGTCGCCCTTCAATGTCACCTTGCATCCAATAGGATTGCCTTGTTAAATAAATAAAGAGGATCGGATAGAATATTACACGAAAATGTATATATACATAATATATAATGTTAGAAGGGGGAAAAAACAGCTTTGTTCTATTGATCATAGTTATTATAATAGTTATTGGCAAAAGAGAGGGAAAAGTCTTTTTTTTTTTACCTGCACGCAACTTCCAAGGGTGGACTCCCTTCTTGGAATGAATGATCTCTGGCATCTCTCCTGTGATGGCTTGAATGGCCATAAAGCCACTCAAGAGGTGGTACTTGCTGACTAGGGCTTCCTTCATCATGCAATGAATCTCGATCTTGGTCAATTCTGGGATCTGTTTAGGAGAAGGAGCCTTTGGATTGGGTTTAAGATGCCTGTGTCCCTTCAACTCCACCCGAACTCCCTCTGGGATCTTGGCCTTGGGCTTGAAATTATGGCTATATGTCAGGACCATCAAATCCTCTTGAACTGTCTCTCGAAAATGTTCCCGAAGTCGACTCACTCCTGTCGTATATTCATATTGAGGTGCTAAAGTAATAGACTGTTGTTGTTCGTTCTTATTGCTGCTCTTTTTATTACTTGTGCTAGTGTCCTTCTTAGTAGTGCCAGTTGTGGTAGCAGTACTGGTAGAAGCGGAACGAATCTGTTGTGCAGTTGCAACAAATGATCCTTTAAGAGATTGTTGCACCCTGGTCTGAGAGATCAGAGCACGCGCTGATCGGGTAAGTGAGGCCATGGTCTTCCTGTATTTGTTTCCCGCCTCTTGCACAAAGAAAAAAAAAAAAAAAAAAAAACAAAACAAAAATAAGAATGAGAACAAGAATGAAAACGGGAGAGATGAGAAAGAAATTGATCCAAAGAATAAGATGCAAAATTTAGTGAATTCCGAAAAGTGCGTTCCCTTCACTTCTTTCTCACATTCAATTCCTACAATGCAATGAAGATCTTATTTTGATTTTTTTTTTTCCAGGTACAAATGCCGTGAAGCCAAGCCACATTTACGATCTGTCATATTTGCTTCTCTTTTTTTATTTTTTTTATTTTTTTGCTATTTATACTTTAATTGAATCCAAGATATCTCGATTGCTAGAGACGACATGGCTTTGGTTGTGCCCGTCTATTCTTGTCCAGCTCCCAATCTGACATCCATTGCTCCCCCTTTGCTTTCCAATTACGGGTACAGTCATTTGAAAAAGACAGCTATCCCGCTTTGGAGATTTCTCTTTAGTGTCCATGTCCTGGAGCATTCTCTACCATCTCGCTGACACACTCCCATTCTCCACTAAGGTTTTCCTTCCAAAGCGTCACCTTATTATCTCCACAGGAAACCGCAAGGATATTGCCACTCAATGACCAGCTCACTCTCCAGACTACATCCGCAAACTTTTCATTCCTCAATGGCTTTTTCTGCCAAGGCGATGTTGGTGCATCCTGTGTCCAAATCAACACCGTCTTGTCTTGTGAACAACTGGCCAAATAACTCTTGGGGACTCCAATGTTGGGTGCCCAGGCCACATCACGGACCCAGTCTGTATGTCCTTCAAGTGTCTCCTCTTCCTTCCATGAGTTCAAATCCTCTCTAAATGTCCAGATCTTCACAAAGTTATCACAACCAGCTGTGCTGAATCGTTTTGAGAATGGCACCTTGCCAGTGTTGGATCCTTGCTGAAGTAATGCTCCAGGGACTGTTGCAGGCGCCCATGCCACAGCATTGCATCCAATTGAATGTGCATCCAGAACAGCAGTATCCCAGGTTCCATCGTCTATTGAAAAGTGACCAAGCGAGATTTTGTGGAATTAGATTTTTTTTTTTTTTCTTTTTCCTTTTTTTAATCATCACGTTTCTAAAGCGATCTGTTTCCAAAAAAATACCATTGAATGAAAGAACAGAGACACGACCATCTGAGGAAGCACAGGCCAAGATTGGTCCAAGTTCGTGAGGAGCCCATGCAACGGAGTTCACTATAAAAAAATAAAAAATAAAAAATAAAAAATAAAAAAAAAGAGATAGAAAAAATTGAGTAATCGATATGCGTGGATATTAAAGACATTGGGGTTTTTATAAATAAATGTTTATAATTATATCTTATGTATTACCAGAGGCAGTATGAGAGACATGCTCCTTGATACGTGCCCATTGCCCATTCTGTTCTCGCCACACAAAGACCTTGCCATCATATGAACACGAGGCCAAAATGCAGCCAAACTTGGGATGCGCCCAAGAAATCTGCCACACGGGGCCTTCATGTCTAAAAATGAAGGGAAAAAAAAAAAAAAAAAAAAAAAAAAAGTAAAGATAAGAGTGTTTTTTTTCCCCAATCTCAATTAAAGTGACGACGTGACCCAATTGAACAATGAATATAAGAAATATATAGGCTTTTACCCTCGAAGAGTGCTAGACAAACGATGATTCTCGCCATCTACTTCAAAGATTTTGATGGTTCTGTCTGAGGAGCAAGTAGCAAGGCGCTTGCCTGTTGGTAGGTTTAAAAATAAATAATAGATAATAAACATGATCAATGACTAGTAAATGAGAAAACAGACAAGGAGAAAAAAAAGGCGCGTCCTGACAATTAAGTCGTACCATAGTAATCATATTGAGCGTCATGCTAAGGAAATAAAGTGGTGGAAGGAGAGAGGGATTTTTTTTTTTAGAAAAATACCAAATAGAGGCACATTTTCCAACGTTCAACAAAAGATTAAAAAGAAAAACAAAAAAAAAAAAAAAGTTCCATCTTACAATCATATCCTCGTGCTGGGTCTCCAGCAATTGCTGTTGTTGAGTAGCAGCGGCAGCCTATACAAGCAGAAAAAGAGAGAAGTTATTAAAAAAAAAAAAAAAAAAAAAAAAAAAAAACGCGACCCAATCAAGGATACAAGAAAAGAAAAAAAAAAAGAAATCGTATCAGCGAATCAGTAGGAGTATATAAAAAGGACGCGTTTCTCGGAGGAGATAAGGAAAGGAAAGTATGCGAGAATGAGAATGTCTCATTATGCCCTTCCTCTTCCTTTCTTCTGGTTAGCTTCATCTCCTTCCACAAGTTAATCGTTTCAGTGCCAAGACTCGGTTCAATAGGCGAATAAAATAACAATTATAATAAAAAAAAAAGTGCATGCTGAACTTATTCTCCATGTAATCCACTTTATTACCATTATAAAAGTAAAATGTGTGCTGCGTTGCTGATGTTGAGAAGTTTTAGATGGCTGTTGTAAACAGTTTTGCAACAGCTGTCTGCTTGCTGTTTGCTATGACAAGAAGGGCTGAGAAGGGGAGATGAACTCGAAAAAGGGAATAACACGAACAAAAAAAAAAAAAAAAAAAAAAAAAAGATGAAAAGGAATGCTTGCTGCAAGTCGAAGGCGATCAAGCTCCTCCTGCAAAACTGCTACGTGGGCGATGCGATTGGCCAGATACAATAGTTAAGGAATGCTCTGTACACGTGATCGTAAGCATTGCGGAGAAAATTATACAAGAATTAGGCAAGCAATGAACCTTTAATTTAATATGCTATTATGGCCACTAATGAGTTTCTGTATCGTATACTGAGGTTATTGATGGTTTCCTTCTTCTGAGACAACAACTTGTTGTCCTTTAATCCGCTCCCTGATCTCGTTGTCCATGCTACTCTTACTGTTGTTGCTGCCCTAGACTCAGATCAAGCTTTAAGCTACCCCGGCAGCAAGTTCGGATGGCGAAACAGATGGTTCTGCTGCGCCCTGAAAGCACAGGCTCATTAAAGCGGGCGAAGCGCCAGGTGCCGATATGCCACGTTCACCAATCACCTCTGTAGTTTCGGCAACTTCTTGTGCAGCTGATTTTGACGCTTGGCTCTTGATAATACTCTTAAACTTTGAAAATGCTTTCAACTTGATATTAACAAGAGAAAAGGAAAGTGTTATAGATGTATTAGTACAATAAAAAAAATACGATCAAAGAAGCATATGGAATGAGTAACGTAGCAAAAAGCCTACCACAGCGACAATTCCTTGAAGGCGCTGGAATGCATTGTCGAGATCCGCATCTGAGACGTCTACGACAGCATTCTTAGTATTATCCTCCTTGCAAATCAACTTGTCTCGGCCGTCATCTGTAAGCCAAGGGTCCTCCTGGATACGTACGGTAATTTAAAAGATAAAGAAAAAAAAAAAAAAAAACATTAAAAAAAATGACAATGACAATGGCAATTTTTCTCCTCAATCGAGATTAATATAACGTAAAGTAGGATAAAGGCCTTACTCTGAGCTCATCTAATGTAATGCGCTTGGCTGGATCCTTTTCCAATAGTCTTTTCATGACATTCTTGAACCTGGGATCCTTCTCGCTTTCCAGGTCTGGCTCATCTTCTCGGATGGCTCTGTGCAGATCTAAAGTATTTGAGAACCTGAATGGTAGACGGCCATAGCGGATGCAATACAAAGTGACGCCCATAGACCAGATATCCATAGCTCGTCCAGAGACTTCCTCACGCATTAGCTGGCAGAGCTCTGGAGCCATAAATGCAGGCGATCCCGCTGATTTCTTGGTCATATCATCACCCTTCTTTGTAAACATTTCTGAAACACCGAAATCCACAATCTTGAGCGTCCCATCTGCTGAAAGAAGGAGGTTTTCAGGTTTAATGTCTCTGTGTACAATATCGTGCTCGTGGACTATGAAAAAAAAAAAAAAAAAAAAAAAAAAAAAAAAAAAAAAAAAACAGAAATTAGGATCGAAAGAGCATTGTTTGTGTTCGATGGCAAACCAAAAGAGAAATGACAGAATTTACTCACGATATTCGATACCAAGGACAATCTGTTGAAACACATCCCTGCATTCCTCATCCGAAAAGATCTTGCCAACTTTATCGCCAAGCGACACATCCGTCAACACGCCACGTTCACATAGCTCAAATACTAAATCAGAGAGCAGAGCGGAGAATAAGGAGTTAGTTTTTTTTTTTTTTTTTTTTTTTTTTTTTTTAGGACATGCTCAATGACATATTGATGACTATTCCTCATCTTGACTATCCTCTTCCATCATGTCCTATTTTTTTCCTTTTTCTTTATATTTTTTTTTTTTTTTTTTTTTTTTTTTTTTTTTTTTTTTTTTTCCTTACCCATGAACATCGAATCCTCCGTGGCGACATCGAGGACTTCGTAAAGCCTCACAATATTGTCGTGATTTAGCTTTTTCAAAATTGCAATCTCGCCTCGAATCAGTTCCAAAGGGGATGACTCGGATGAATTGGACCTTAAGGGTGCTCTTCCTCGCCCTCTTCCCAACGTGAACAGGTTGGCATTTTTTTTTTGCCTGCGCAACTTTGATTTACTGAATTCTTTGATAGCCTATTGATGAGTTAGACATTAAAAATAACAACAACATAAATAACAGTAATAAATAAAAAGGTACAGAACACGACAGTCCTCAGGAGAAGGAAATCCAGGGGTAAAGAAAACCTACATATTTGATGCCCGTGTTGACGTCTACACCCAAGTTCACGATACCATAGGCACCTCGACCGATAATACGCTTTAGAACATATTGCTTCAGTTGTAAGTGACCATCAGCCGTTTCAACAACGCTGGCATTCAACGTCTCTTTGACTTCGATCGGTTGTAAGAATTGGGTGGAGCCTCGTCGAGAAGAACTCCTGGAAGAGACTGTCAATGGGCTGTTCTCAACTGAAAGAGAACGACCATGCCCAGTACAAGATCTAGTGTTATTATTATTATTATTACTATTATCGTCTCCATCATCGCTTTTGTTTAGATGGCTATCAGGCCTTAGATAACGACCCTGATCCTGATTACCAGTAGCGTTGATTGTGGTGGATATGGATGCAGGAGCATTAGTGTTATTCTTTTTATCGTCAGTGTCCCATTTTCTGATAGAAGTTGATGACGAGCAATAGGAGGTAATAGGGGAGAGTGTAGAGGAGTCATGAGAATGAGACGATGGATCTATATTGATGTCGTTGTTGCTGTTGCTGCTGCTGTTGCTATTACTATTGCTACTGGTGCTGTCATTGCCATTATTATTAGCAGCTTTCATCCGAGAAAAATTAGAGAGAAGAGGGAAGTTGTAGAGCGGGTGATTGCTGTCAGTCTGAGACATGGTGGTAGTGGGGCTTTGGAAGACAAAGGCAGGACTTTCAAAAGCATCGCCGTTATCTTGAACGTTGTTCTTCTGGGTCAGTGACGAAGGGGAGGAGGAGGAAGAGCTACGGACACCGCGGGCTGACGACACGTCCAAGACGGGGCGCTGTTGTGAAATAGGGTCCATATGTAACTTGCAGAGCAGAGCAGAGCAGAAGAGAGAGATAAGAGGAAGAAAAAAAAAAAAAAAAAAAAAAAAAAAAGGAATGCAGGTGACTAAAATGAGGAATGGAATGGAATGAAGAAAAAAACAAAAAAAAAGAGGAAGACACGGTCTGTTTATAAACGGAGATACTTGTACTCTTCACTTTTTTACTCATAAACAAAACACTTTATTTACTTTGCATTACACACATGGCAATTAGCACTGCTTATTTTGGTATTGAATCGTGACATGGGTGTAATAAACGCAAAAAGCAAGTCATCCTTGTGTGTATGCGTTGTGTTGGCTCTCAAAGAGGAAATCGACTCCACCTTGCATTACCTGCGGCCACCCTTCTTTCTTTCTTTTTGCTCATGCAAAATATAACAACGTTCATCAAAAACAACCGATCATATACTACATTTATATAGACATGTATGTCTATCATTCCAACTATCTATTTTATCTCTCCGCGGAAATGATTCTTGAACACAAAGTATGGGCACCAACAATCGGCAACCAACGATTGGCTATTAATGATGCTACAAAATGTAATATAAATAAACTAAATCGTGGTTGTTGTAAAAAAAAAACTCAATTAACATCCTAGAATGATTTGAGGCTGAGCCTAACTCTGCATTAGTCTTATTAACTTTGGGCTGTGGGAACGCTGAAACAAAAAAAAATCGGAGGTTATGTGGATTATTCTTCGAAGAAGAGAAGAACACAGATCACAAGGAAAGAATGAGGGCGGTGTTGGCATGGAAAAATTTATATGCTCATAATGATAAAAATAGATTGCCCGAAAGTCCAATCATCAATAACTCCCTCATGCACTACGCCACGGCAATTCACATGATCAAGCCTCCTTTATCCTTTCACACTCAAAATAAATATTGCTAACACACTCTAGTACTGCTTTATTTTAAATAAAGATCTAGGGTTGCTGCTTATTATCATCAAACTCCCTTTCTACTTTCTATTAATGCTCCATCAACGGATGAGGTATTTTATAAATCTCTTAATCTCCTGACGGAAAGTGCCCTCCAGGGGCGTAGTATACTGGATTTTTGTACTGCCCCTCTCATCTAAATCCATCAAAAAAAAAAAAAAAAAAAAAAAATTGTAACAAAGGACAGGCAAGAAAGGTTGTAGAGACTCTTCCTAACTTTATCGTTCTCAATTTTGCTCTTTTATGTCATACACATGCATACAACAAGGAATGCAGAATAACACACACGTAAATCACAGTAGTAAAAATGTTATAGTAGTGTATAATATAGTAGTAGAAGTAGTAGAGATAATAAGATAATAAGTATAAGAGAAGAGTAACCCGCCGAAGCGGGTCCAAAAAGTAGTGATCAACTCCATTGTGTATGGCTGTAACTCGAAAACGTCAGGTAAAAGGCATGATGTTTATCCGATTAGTTATAACCACTGGAGTGCGATGAAGAAAAAAAAAAATTTCTGGCGATTGGGCTGGCCTTTTTATACTCATTTCCGTTGTGACTACATTTTAGAACTAATATAGATCTCTACTATGATCCATCTTTTGGATGTGGGGACAAATTATGCAGATGAAATTTAACACAAAAATTTCTTTTTGCAAGAAATAACCCGTCCCTTTTTTCTTTCCTCGCAAACTGGAATATGTAGTGGAATTAAGGAATTAAAGTTCAGAAACTGGTGTACATGTATTTCCCGCATTCTGCTGAGATAGTCATAATTCATTACACGAGCTAAAAGAGGAAGCTAAAGCTAAAGCAGATGCACTTTTTACATCCATGCGTTTCCTTCTGAGGATATGCTTTGTCATTATGATTCTTCATTCCTTTGCCTAACCACCATGAGCTGTTATGGCTATTTTCACGCGATGCAATTAGCAAATTGCTCACCAACACCTCATTGCATCACTCTTTGTAAATCGCATAAAGCAGGGCTCTTAATCTTTATTCTTCCTCTTCAATGACGCGTCTACTGATATATCAAACAAAAACACTACGACTTTCACTGGCTTTTGTTGGCGTAGCGGCGGACCTGGACGAAGTCGAATGCATGATCGCTACTATGATCTACAAGGTAAAGTATATCACCTTTTTTTCAGGGGAGTCAATTTGAATAACAGAAATTTACGTACATGACCTTCCCCTCCATTTTCATATAATTTTTTGAATGAATTTGACTGTATTGGAAACAATTGACCGATCGAAGCAGACATTACCCTCATTCACATTCACAAGAAGTAGCCAAATGCCTTTCACTGTTGCTACCGATAGCCACCTTTAACATAGTGACCTGAGTGATATAATAATGATCTAGATGATAATCTACCCATCTAACATTTCTTGAAACACACACAACTCTATTAAAATTTTGAATTTGTACGGTTTCTCAGCTGTCAAAAAAAGCGTACCACAATGTAATTAAAGGATGTGATGCGACCTTGTGGTGGAGACCATTCGCCACTCGAATAATGTGAACCTTCTTTTCCTTGCAGTGATGAGGTCGCTTCCTACACTTTTCTTGCTACTTTCCTTGTCATTTTTCTTTTCACTTTTCTTCTCATTCTCCTTTCTTGTCATCCTTCTCCCTTCTCCATCGCCACTGCTTCCCCTTTGCCTTCCTTTTAAACTATTGACCGCTGTTAAAATAAATGCTTTCTCAGAATTCGCTAAACGAGCCTGAGGACTTCGTATTCTTTTTGGAGTTCGACGATATACCAGATACATCGATCGATACCCCTTCAGCAATTGACGATGCAAGCTGGCTCGATCTATTAAACCAGAAAGACCAACAGGAGCACTCGCACACCGCTATCCCTTCCAATACTGCAGTAGTAAATGAAAACAAAAGCTTCTTTGGGTGTTTTTGGATCGTGTCTAAGATGTATAACCTAGTTAGGAAGCTTAACGCGCTACTGCAATGTTATTTTCCTAGCTGGAATACTATAGATGTGCATCAATTCCTTCCGAATCCGAATGTTACCAAGAAATGAATGTCATTGAGGCCCAAAGAGTATCCTCGGCCTTAGTATCCTCTTCATCTAATCGTGTATTACCTGGTACATACGATCAGGAAATGCCCATGGTTGCCGATGCTCTGTCAAGCTACACACCTTCCTACTCATCTCCCTCTACTTTCTCGCCCTCTTCCTCTTTGCCATTATCCTCGCCCTATTCTTCTACGTCATCTTCATTCGCTTCATCCTCATCTCCCCCTTCATCCTCTTCCTCACAGCTCATGGCAGCTTCTTTGGTAAAGCTTCCTGAACATGCCTGTCCTTATTGTAGTAAAGCTTTGACCAATGCCTCCAATCTCAAAGCCCACATCAGAACCCATTTTCCAAAGGAAAAGAAATACTTTTGTGAGGTAGAAGGATGCAGTAGTCGTTTCCTGAGGAATGCTGAACTTATACGACATAAAGGAACGCACTCCCCTACAAGTACGTTTCGCTGTGAATATTGTATGAAGCGTTGTAAGAGGAAAGATACCTTAAAGAGGCATCAAGACAAGAGCTGTAGAGCTAACCCCACAGCTAGGAAATACAAGCCTTATGTCTAACATGGCTCGCTCCGTGCCTGGTGACGCAAACCCGAAATCCGATAGAGCCGGACCCTGATCCATATTGAATCTTTATTATATCTATTGCTTAGTTCTTTTTTCTTTACAGTTCTTAGTCCAATGAAAAATAAAATAAAGGCATTTTAACTGAAGTTAAGGAAATAGCAAAAAAGTAAGCAATATGATATGTTTTATGGTAAATCGGAAGTCAAGGAGATCAAAAGTTGTTTATTATTTTAGCTAGGTCGGAGCCTTATATAGGCTCCAACATAGCCGTCACTAATTGCTCTGATCTATGAATAAAAAGGGGAGTGCTCCATTTGGGTACACTCCCTAGCCTCAGGACGTAACAACTTCCCCCCAGATTTTATGTAGGGTTTTTGGCGTCTTGTCTAAAGGCCTTGAGGAAAAATAAGAAAAACCTCTTGTTGTTGAAAGGTAGGAGGAAAAAAATAAACCTCTTGAGGACAAAAATTTAAACCTCACGTGAGACTTCACAGTGTCTATTCTTAAAACTTGTTTTGATATTTCTTTTCTTGTGATTAGAGAGAGACTTTATCTCAAAAAGTAATGTCAGCAAATGGATCATGGAAATATAACAGCCATTGGATCAGGATGTGTCATACAGGAGATGTGGGTAGTAATTATTCAGCATGTCAAAAATGTAGAAATCTCATTGGTCCTTTGTCAAACAGGGATCACAAAAAGATCACGCCATCCACTTCCCCCCAGAAGGACGAATGAGGATTCACGAAGCAAATGAAGAAGATTAAGGTCAAAAGGAATGAAGATTGGAAACTTCAAACGCTCACTCATTCCTTCATTCCTCAGTATTCACTTTTGCTACTCAAACACCTTCTTGCAGGGACACATACTCATTACTTACTTTCCTTATAACAGCCATCAGCAGACAATTATCAATATGCCTTCTAACAATTCTCCCTCTTCCCCCCTGTCTGACTCTTCAACTCTACATGAGTATGAGGACTATGAATTTATCCCTACGGAGCTTTCAACAGCTCCGTCTTCACTCATATTAACAGAGACTGCAGACGTGGAGAATCGCAGTAACTTCGAAGGAGATACTGAGGAAGAGAGCAGCTATGACGCTGAGGACGACGAGGATTATGAGGGTGAGGAGGATCTGTGGGATAGTGACGAGGAGACTCGTGCCTGGAAAAAGGCACACTATCAGTTTTACCACCCAGAGGCACGGAGCCGATCAGCCTCTCTGGAAATCCCAGGACCTCGTCCTATCAGGAAGCGAAAGGAGCCCTCTGGTGATGAAGAGTCATCAGGCAGCGAAAGCAGTGAAGCAGAATTGTCAAGCTGTGGAGTGTGTACGACTCTTGGGAAGAGAAGACGTTTGATGGCGGAGAGTGGCGATGATTCCGCGAAGAGCCGCCTCCAAAGAGAATTCGCATGGGCTAAGAGGTATGAACGCCTCTACAAGAAGTATACTAAGTTGCGCAAGCAATCAGAGAAGTATAAGACTATGCGCATACGGGTAGAGAAAGTTGTAGATTCTCTTAACTCTCAGTTGCCATCACATCCAGTTGCTAGTTGCAAATGCTGCAAGGGAAAGAATAAAGTTGATAGTTGCTAAATTGAAATTTATTGACTGTTGCGTTGCAAAAAAAAAAAAAAAAAATATTGAAATGAGGACGAGTGTGTGCTCTCTTTTCTTCATACTGGAGAAAACTTATTTGTACAAAAACTCCAGTTATCTCAACCCTACTAATATAACAGCTCTCTGCACTTTACAGCTTTGCCGCTACATGACGCTTGTGCCGTTTGGTCTGGTTATGGGTGAGTTGTCTCTGCTTCCTCTTAAGAAGTCTTGTTGACTCTGATGCGTTATTCTTTTGCTGCTTCTTCCTCTTTCTGTCATTAATATGAGGATTTTGCTGTCTTAGGTTCTTCCAATATTGACGAATGATGATGTCCGAGTCAAAATTCTCATAGGGAATTTGCTCGTTGTATGAGGAGTCATAGCCCTTCCACTTTACAGTATACATCATTCCTTTTCCCGTGAGTTCGTGGTCAACGATAGACTCTATTTCATACGACTCTTCACTGGGAGCATCAAGAGCTTGAGTGACCATTTTGAGCTGGCTCGGAGCATAATTACGAGCCAATTTCTGGTTGGTAGCGTCTAGCAGAGTGTAGGCACCATTTTCGGTACGAGCCACTACTTTGTATGGGCCTTGGTATTTAGGTGCTAATTTACCATTGGGCAATTCTTCCTTCGCCATGACAAACGCTCCAGGTGGGAACTGAAGGATTTTGTGTGTCCTGTTGAATTTCTCCACCATTCTTTTTTGCGTGTCAGAACTCTTATCATCGATAGCAGGGAAAACTAACGCGGTGAGATATTCCAATCTGTTCTGTAATTCTTCTTCAGACAGGAGATGTGACTCGGCTGAGGAAAAATCCGTTAGTCCTGCAAATGAGCGTCCATAGAATAATGAGAATGGCGTTGAATGATGTAGACTCGCGACTCTAGTATTCATTTGGAGCTGAACCATTGGAAGATGGATGTCCCAATCATTCTGTATGCCTTCGAGTTGTTTTCTGAGGATGTCCTTAAATGTGCGGACAAACCTCTCCGCTACACCATTCGAGCGTGGATGATATGGCGTGGAGAGTCTATGCTCTATTTGCAACTTTTGCGTTATGAGACGTGACACTCCATTGACGAATTCAGTGCCATTATCAGTTTGGATAATTTTAGGGAATCCAATAGAGCAGAATAGCTTGAAGAGGGTGCTGGCCACCGTAATGGCTTCCTTATCAGGCAGAGGCTCCAGGAATACAAATCTTGTGCAGATGTCAACCACTACTAAAGCGTAGTTATTACCCCTGGAACTGGTTTCAAATGAGGCTAAATCGAATGCTATGTGTTCCCCTGGGAGTCTGGCATGTATGGCAGTTAAAGGATGATACCCCTTTCTAGCTATGTTGAATCTTTGGCATGGTCCGCATTGGCTAACCCATTTGAGACAATCATCTCTCAATTTAGGCCAAGTAAAGCCTTTAGCATGGATAGCAGTAACCATGGCATTTCCTCCAGGATGACCGAATTCGTGTGCTAGGCGAAGATGCTGAAGCTTTTCTTCAGGATCTTGGATGATTTTTCTAGAAGCATCCTCCAACTGAAGTTGATGAGAGTAAGGAGCAGTTATATCAATAACCTGTAGAGTGGAAGGCAGCTGCTGCGAATCAGATGACTGTGGAGCTGCCTGAACATTCTCGGTAGTCTCTGTTCCTCGCCTCATAGAAGCAATCTGCCGACTCGTAGAACATGTAGCTTGTTCTTCTTTAGGAGACTTCCACAATTCCTCAGGAAATGCGCGAGATAATGCGTCTGGAATAATGTTCAGCAGGCCTGGACGATAAATACATTCAAAATCATAGTTGAGCAGAGTGGCCTTCCAATTCAGGATTATTTGTGGCAACTCCTTCTGTTCATGAATGTACGTCAGAGGTCTGTGATCAGTATATAATGTAAATCTTCTTCCCCAAAGGTAATGGTGAAATTTCATTAGTGCAAAAATAATTGCTAAGAGTTCCTTCTTGTAAGCTGGGTAATTTTTCTCATGCTTATGCAATGCTCTGGCTTGAAAGGATATGTAGTTGACCTTGGTTTCATCTTCCTTGCCACCCGGTAGCTGATATAGGACAGCTCCTATGCCTACGTTAGAGGCATCTGTGGCTACAAAGAATTGCTGAGTAAAATCAGGGAACGATAAGGCTGGAGCTTGGGCTATAAGCGATCTGATGCTGTTAAAGCTTCGCATTTGCTCCTTATTAAGATCAAAAGTGCCTTTGGCATTGCGCAGGGCATCTAGAGGTGCTGTGAGCGAGCTGTACAAGGGTATATACTCCCTAAAATAATTGAAGAGGCCTAAATAGCGTTGAACCATCTTCTTATTGGTAGGTGGTGTCCATGAATGCACATTAGCAACCTTGTTGATATCTATTTTGCGTCCTTCTTTGTTGATTATGAACCCCAGTAGTAGCACTTCTGTACTAAGGAATTTACTCTTTTCTCTATTGATTATCAACTTTGCAGCTGTAAGCCTTTCTATGACAATGCTGACATGAAGAATATGATCCTCTGCTGTGTGCGAATAGACAATAATGTCATCCACATAATTGTCAGCAAAGTGCAGATCATCTAAGAGTTGTGACATTCCTCTTTGGAAGATACTCGTGAGGGGTTTTAAACCAAAAGGTGCTCTAGCAAACATATATTGCTTACCACCGTACGTAAATGCAGTTAGTGGTTGGCTTGATTTCTCTACAGGCATGCGATGATACGCCTGAGACAGATCAATTGCGGTGAAATACAGATGCCCTGCTACCCTCTGCTGGATATCAGTGATTAATGGTAGAGGGAAGACATCAGTATCCTCTAGTTGACGATTCAACATTCTTGGATCAAGGCATACTCTATATTTCAGAATATTACCATCCAGGTCACGGCGTGCTGCCATTGTCAGGGAGTTATTATACGGACACCCCTTAGGTGCTGGAACGATAACACCCGTTTCTTGCCACTTCTGGATGGTCTTTTCCACTTCTTCTTTTTCAATTTGCGAATGGAATGGGCGAGATCTTTCCTGGATGATACAGGTGGGTTTAACCTTTAGCTGGACCTTCATTGTATCAAGATTGCAAAATGAATTTGGCGAGATGGCTTCATTCGCCTGTAAATAAGGCTCCAGTGCTAACAGGAACTTTTCTTTCAATGCTTTGAATTCAGCATTGTTTTCTCTTTCTGGAGTTTGTGACGGAATGACTTGAGGTTTTTCATCATATGGGACCCATAGGGATTCCTCCTCTCGTATCTCCGGCATGGCTATTCCCGTGATGGAAAAGCCGAGTCTAGCGAAGAGATCCATTCCCAACACGAAGTCATAATACTCAATGTCCATGACCGACAATTGATATTCTCCAGATCTATTGTTGCAGACCAATTGGACTTTATCACAAGTAATGGCATTATCCGTGCTAGTCCCTTTTTCTATCATTGCTATAGATTCTCC